CTTTTTGCCCAACAGAACCACTCAATCAGTCACTTTAGGGCATGACTGTTAACCCTTTCACTCTGAGAAGTTACGAAACTGACACTTCCAGATGGTACCATTTCCCCATAACAGCCACTTCCAGATGGTACCATTTCCCCATAACAGCCATTTTCCCAACTCGCTACAGAGACATGTTTATGAGACATCGAGCTAACAGAATTCAGTGCATCTGTGAAAATGCTCATCATGACAGGGGATGACTATATTTACTTAAAAACATTTAGTGGGGTTCCCTTTGTTAAAAAAAAAAAAAAAAGGCCTTATTTATAACAGTTTCTATGTCATATTTTCTCCATTGGCTAGTGGGTCAAAGTGTCAAGTAAGTGTCAAGCAATAACTAGTTTACAGTTTCAAGAGATGTAAACTAGCTGACTCTATACTGCATTCATTTTTACTGACTACTTCCCATTATCTGTATTGCATCTGTTCATATTTTGGATGAGAAACCGATTTTGTGCAAATTAGTATGTGATATGTGAAAATTGTTTGTGTCTCTAAAGATTCTTTTTCCCGACAATATCTAAAAATTTGAAATTAAAGGAGCTTGTTTAAAAAAAAAAAAATAAGTCATAGGGGTGAAAGGTTAACTCTTGCAGTCCCAACCAACGTACAGTATGTGGTCAGCTAAAATCTGTGTGTATCAAACAATGAACGATGTGTAATTATATATTTTACTTCTGGTTCCATCATACTAAAGAAATCTGGCTAGATATGCTAACTTTCAGTAGCGTATATATTGTCACTTTTAAACTAACACACTGATACTCTTTTCACTATTTCTCTTAACTCCTTAAGTATTTAAAACTAAACCTTCTGGTCTATTTCCCCTCCCCCCTTTCACCAACAGGGATATAACATATGCTACCTTGATCTGTCTCTAAACTCCTTCTCAAGCTCCTCATCTGCAGAATTAGAGCAACTACCAACAGTTGCAACTTGAGGTGTGAATAAAGTCTCTGGGATGACTACAGGTGAGGACACTTCAGGAACATCAGGATTCAGGAAATACCATGTGTTCTGTGAGACTTTCTGGCGCAGGACTTCTCTGTGTAAACACTGTGGACAGGGTATGACCCTTGTCACTAGATACCTCCCATCACTGTTCTGGTTGAAGCGAAGTTCTCCTAGGTCTGGATACCAGTCCTGGTAAATAAATGATTGCATAAAATTTATAGAGGAAGCTTGTATGTTTTTTCCCATATGTTTAACACTGACTTCCCTCTTACCAATGGAAAACATCTGTGTCTGATACAGCAGTCAGGTTAAAGATAATTTTCGAAGTTCTTGGGGGTTACTAAAAGTTGCTGTCAATCTTCTTCTTCTTCTTTGCATTCACAGACATAAGTTCTGTTTGTTTGACCTCATCTAGATTTTAGTCTTTTTTTCAGAAGCTGAGTTTTGCATACACATCCATGTCTCTGATCTGGCTTATTTGTATGTAGACTGATGGTTTCTAGCTTCTCGGGCAGATGCGGTCCGACTTCGACGGAAACATCTCTAATTATACAACTTTAATGACATTTCTTAGGGGAGCAGTGCGCCCCTTTTGCCCCACAATAGGGCCCCAGAACCCCCACATAAAGCTGTCATTCTAAATTTAACACCCTACACTTTTTGGTATGGCATGTTGTATGACTTTGACCAGATGGAAATAATAAAAACAACAAACCTGCAACAGATTGTCCACGTGCTCAACAATCTTCACTAGTAGTTTAGTAGTGGCAACTTCTTCTCGGTTGATTATGGCTGAAGGTCTTGACAAGTCCAGGTTCTGAACAGATTTCAATATGGCTAAATTAAAATGTGGACAGTTGTGTCTTCTATTCATTCATTCATTCAGTAGCATGTCCCTCGCGGAACCTCGCTGCCATAACAACCCTCCGGAAAACCTTCCTATCATGAGCAAGATGTCCTGCGTCTGATACACCCATCTGGAGATCATCTGCCACATCCTGCACCCATCTTCTCCTTGGCCTTCCTCTTCCTCTCTTCCCAGGCATATACCCCTCCATTATTGTTCTCTCTAGACCTCCATGACGTTTCAAGTGACCAAAATATTTCAATTTTCTTTGTTTTATTGTCTTTACTAGCCAACCCTCTTCAATATTCAGCTCTTGAAGTATGGATGCATTTGTTCTTTTCTTTACCCAAGATATTCTTAGAACCTGTCTGTAACATTTATATTCAAATGCATTTATGCGCTGTTCCGCTTGTTTAGTAAGTGTCCAGGTCTCACAGGCGTATGTTGCAATGGGAAAGATGCATGCTCTTAAAAATCTGACCTTTGTAATTCTATCTGTACAATTCCATAATTTATTCAGTTGTTTTAGTCTTTGAAGAGCAATTGATAGTCGCCGTTTAATTTCTTTCATTGTGTCACCATTGTTGGTAACCAGTGACCCAAGATATTCGAAATTTTCCACCACTTCCAATCTTTCCTCATTAACATATATTTCCTTCTCCATGGCAGTTTTGTTTGTATGCATGTTTGTCTTCTATAGTGAGTTTTATTCTTAATTATTGATACAAATTGTCTGTTTGCTGAGCCATTCGTAATGTTACCAGAGTCGTATTGGTCAATCTTCATGGTGCTGTGGACAGGTTTTCATGCTGCCTGAAATGTCATACATGACAAAAGATTTGCAGCTGAATTAACAATTTGGTATGGCGATATTTACACTGTGGTCTTCGAGCACACCTGTACAGGATAGGCATAAAAGAATCTGCTGCCTGTGATTGTGGAGCAGAAAGACAGACCCCTGAGCACATACTGCAGTACTGCCCTTACCTCTCCCAGCAAAGACTGTGGATCTGGCCCAGGGGATCCACATAGTGAGAGAAGTTATGGGGGACCGGTGGCGACCTTAAACGCACAATCCTATTTTTGACCCAGACGGGACTCAATGTGTAGCATGACTGATGTCGAACGCAGAAGAAGAAGAAGGTATGGCTTAACAGCTTCACAGCTATCTTTACAACAGCCTTTGCTACTTCACAGCAACCTTTCCCCTTTAAAGCAGCCTTTCCCCCTTTACAGCCCCCTTTCCCCCTCCACAGGAGCCTATCCCCTTTTACAACCACCTTTGCCCCTCCCAGCAGCCTGTCCCCCTTTAAAGCGGCCTTCCCCCCTTTACAGCAGCCTTTCCCCCTTCACAGCAGCCTTTCGCCTTTTCCCTTCCACAGCAGCCTCTCCCCCTTTACAGCCACCTGTCCCCCTTCACAGCAGCCTGTCCCCCTTCACAGCAGCCTTTACCCCTTCAGATCAGCCTTGACCCCTCCCCAGCAGCCTGTCCCCTTTCACAGCAGCCTGTTCCCTTTCACAGCAGCCTTTACCCCTTCACAGCCGCCTGTCCCCTTTCACAGCAGCCTTTACCCCTTCACAGCAACCTGTCCCCCTTCACAGCCACCTGTCCCCCTTCACAGCCGCCTGTCCCCCTTCACAGCAGCCTTTACCCCTTCACAGCCGCCTGTCCCCCTTCACAGCAGCCTTTACCCCTTCACAGCCGCCTGTCCCCCTTCACAGCAGCCTGTCTCCCTTCACAGCAGACTTTCCCTCTTCATAGCAGCCTTTACCCCTCTATTAACTGAAGTGATCCTTGTTGTTCTTTATCTGTTTCTGAGTAGTTTTGTCAATTAAGGGTTGGAGAGTCTGGCTATTTGCTTTAAACCAGTCCTTACTTCTTTGTTCTCTAATCTTATAGACCGATGCAGCTGTTTTGTATACAGTCTCTTATTTGCACCCCACTTCAAGCTTGCTGTAGAGTGATCCTGGATATCAGTGAAAGCATCTTTGAGCTTCTGTTGGAACTCAAAACACTTTTCAAGGTCTTTAGTTTTGGGGAAATATTTGCTTTTTGAAGTAAAAATATTTTTTGTTTCATCATTGTAGCAACTACGGAATGGTCAGTATCACAGTCAGCACTGTGGTAGCTGCGAGTTAGTGACACATATTTCAAGTGTTGCCTCCTAGTGAGAATAAGGTCCAACAAGTGCCAATGGCCAGATCTTCGATGTTTCCATGACACCTTATGGCGGTCTGTTGTCTAGAAAAAGGAGTTTGTGATGCACAGGTCACTTCTAGTACATAATTCCAATAGTCTCTGCCCATTTTAATGCATGTGGCCAAAAAATTTTCCAAGATAAACTGGCCATGAGTTTGAGTCTGACCCCATGCAAGCATTAAAAGCATAAAGTATGTAGATGCCATCAGATTTAGAAATTGCTTTCACTGCATTATCCAATTCCTCATAAACAGAATTCTTTGCGTCCTCTGTTGACGTTAGAGTGGGTGAATAGGCAATTACAAGAGTGATTAAACCACTTAAATATAGACACAATCGAAGAGATAATAATCTGTCATTTACTTCAGTTGGACTCCAACTGATCCCAACAGTATATTCTTTACTGCAAATCTCACTGCATACTCCGGATTTCTTCCTGACCTCTGCCTTTCCAGAAAAATATATATAATTTTATCTAATGGACCCATCCTCTGGCACACAGGTTTCCTGCAGGCCAGCAATATCTATGTCAAGTTTGTTGAGTTCGGCATCAATAATAGCTGTTTTTCTCACGTCACTAATGTTTTCCAGGTCAGTGGAAAACCCAGGACACACGGTCCTCAAATACAAGAGCCAGGTTGAAGCTTGAAGTTAAATTTTTTTTATTGCCTGGTGCATTTGTTTTACAGCCTGCAATTCAGATTTGTCCTAGCTCCAAGCACCCACTGAAGCATACAGGCAGTGGTTGATCAACACCTTACTGGCTGCCCAGCTTGAGGTGGGCGGTAGCTGATCAGTGACATTTGAAGATGTCTCCCACAGTTAGAAGCATGAAAAGGGGAGTTATCTTACTTTTACACTATAAAATTTGTCTACACAAGTATGTTTCCAGTGAAAACCCACCACAAATTCTTCCAAGAAAGAAAGAAATTCTTATATTAAAGACTACAGTATTACCTGCAGCTGAGGCCCATCCTTGCTTGTGACATGAATCTTCAGGGAGTCTGTAGGGAAAGTGATCTCCAATATTTTACTGTTGACCACGTCAAGAAATGACCACTCGTTGTCTATGCTGCACTTAATGCGACACTGGCTGCATGGATTATATAAGGAAAAAATGTAACTTCAGCAAGTAATACATAACTGACTGAGTACAGATTAGTCCATAGAATAGTATTCCTAACACTATATGACAAAAAAATTTCGAGGATTCTTCTTATTTTTCTTCTTCTTCTCCAGTCAATTCATCAAAATGTGTGTGTGTGTGTGCATGCGTGCGTGCGTGTGTGTAGTTGCGTGTTTAGGTGTGTGTGTGGGTGGATATGTGTGTGAGATAGGGGGCGGGGTAAAGATCTTATGTGTTCTCTTTCCAATGCATTGTATAAGTTTGGCTTCATTTTTTAAAGGCTGTTCTTGATGTTGGTATTCCATATTCTGCGTGCCCATTGTATTTCTTCAGCATAGCTCTCTGTGACATTTGGTAACAGGGAATTTTTGTCAGATAACCAAACCATCTCATTTGTTGTTCTTCAATGAACTGAATGACTGGTTTCAGGCCTAGACTTCTTCATTTTACCATTTTAAATTTTTCTCTTCTTGTTACTACAGCAGCTCTTCTCAAACATTTCACATCTGTTCTAATGATTCTGCACTCATTAGTTTTAGTGAGAGTGCAAGTCTGGCAGTGGTAGCACAAAGTTGCCCCCTCCCCCATAATTCTTATAAGATCTGCCCTGGCGGATACTCCTACGAAACTGCTGACCATCATCTCTTTGAGTGCCCTAAACTCGACGAGACTAGAAGAATGCTACTCCCTCCAAGACCAGATAGGTGGAATACCTTGTACGGAGGAAAAGAACAGCTTGTGAAAACATGTAAATTCCACTACATGGCATTGGGTCAAAGGGCGAAAGCTTATGTGCCGCTGGATCAATAACAACAACAACAAGCCCTGTTGGAAAAAGGTCTCATATACTTTGATGTGTCAAAACTTATGTCAGTTGTCTCAGGACCTGGTCTGCTTTAGCATACTGTGTGTAGATTTCTCTGATCCATTATTCCATCAGATGTGAAAATTAATGTCTCAAGGGATGGAGTAAAAAAATCAACTGTCTTAATCAGCATTCAAACATATGATCACTAGATCAACAAGGGAGCGTTCTAGAGTGTGCTTCCCCATTTCCCATGAACTTACATGAACATCATATATTACCACTTACATTTCCCCTTTATTTCTTTACATAACTGTCATTAAGGGTACAAGGACCTCAAAATGCTTCAGCCAATGGCAACATCATCATCATCATCATTATGTACCATGGCCGTAAGTGTAGTCATGTTTCACCATTTCACACAATCACCAGACGCCTGAATCAGGTCTGTGTTCTTGTCCCACTACTATCCATTTTCAGGTATTTGTCTTTTTTGCCTTCCCTTTGCTCTTTTTCATCAATCTTTCAAATTGTCGCCAAGTTCTGGAGTCCATTCCTTCTCATAACATGGCTGAAAAACAGCAACTGTCTACAGACAATGTTTACAGTCTGTGAAATAATTACAACAAAGATGAACTTTTAGTAAACTACGAAGGAAAAATTAGGCCACAGTAGTGCAGTAGCCAGCATGTTTGCCTGCTGGCCCAGAGATCACAGATCTGAATCTCTATCAAGGTAGATTATGCAGGGCTCCTAGGTTGACCCACTGAAACAATGAGCACCAGGAAAAATTACATGCCCAAGTCAAGACATCTGGTGTGGACTGACAACATAATTCAAAGAATGCTGACTTATCTATAAAAATTTAAGCCTTTCAATCTATAAACAAGAGTACTTAAAACAAAACAAAAGAAAATAAAAAAAAATAAAAAGAATGAAAAGATTGGTTTCTTCCACCAGCAGCATGACAATGGAGGTCATTGTTGTGGTAAAGGCCCTAGAACGGCTTAAAACTCAGGAATTCACCAATGCATGCTTTCTTAGCAACTTATGAGCGTGCTACAGAAGGTCAAGATGGGGTACATATGGACACAGTGGCTCAATATAATACAGCGTGCAGAATTTCACAAAATGAACTTTATTATTGTCTCAGGGTATGTTGGTGTGAAAGGCAATGAGACAGCAGACTCCCTGGCTGGTAGTGTGACTATCAGGGTTGGGTCATCTATGGACAGGAAAGACATCATCAATGCCATACGCAAGGCTAAATGCTATGAGGCTTTCAGTTTCATGGAAAATGATTTTTCACTGAATAGACTGCATGCCACGGGTATACAAATAGCAGCCGCGAGACAGAAAAACCATACTGGAGCCACCCGTCGTTCAATCAACCAGAACAGAATGGTTGTTAGCCTAAAAAGGATGAGATCAGAGCACTTATGGGGTCACTATGCCAAAATTTTTTTTTTTAATTTACAGAGTTAGAGCCATTTTTTTTATAAGGGTCATTTGAAGGGATACATGTTATTACATTTGCATACTTTAAGTGTGAAAAAATCATGGTTGTCATGGCAATAGCTGCCATCATGGGGAAAAAAAACATGTACTTAGAATCCTAAAATTTCAAAAACAAACACATACGTAATAAACATAGATGCATGACCTTTTATACTATTTAGAGGTACAGGTGTAGTTTCTTTACTTTAAAAATGTTTTTAAATAATTTTCGTAGAATTTTAAAATGTAGGTTTATTGAAAAAGTCACAAAAATCTTGCATCATAAAACAATAATCAAATTTTTAAAAGCAAAAACTTTCTAAAATCTACTTTTGAAATAACCAGTCCCTATAATATTGTTTAAGGAGTATCCATACTAAATTTCATGCTTCTAGTCTTTATATTAGCTTAGATTTTAGGATTTCACACACACAACAAACAAAAATATGGAGATGTGAGAAAACTGACTTTTAAACTTTTTTTTAATCTTAAAAAAGTGCATGGGTTGGTGCCTTTAGTATTAACTTTTTAAAGCTAAATTGTTTGCAAATGAGATAAATTTTGTGTGTAATCTAAACGAATGCGGAACTTTACAAAAATGAACACATTGAAAAAGTGATATTTTTGTCATAAATTGGAAAAAATGCAGTGTAGAGACCCCTTAAATGTCCAATATGCGATGAAGATAACCTTTATATGAACAATGAACAATAACAACTTAATAATGGAATGAAAATGTGTAACTCAACAAAAAATGAACAGTAATTTTAATTTTCCAAACCAACCTACCTGTAATCACAGAAATATGACGACGTAGAGAAGAAAACTTCTCTGATCTTTAAAACCTCGAAGCCCAGGTAAAAAAGCTCAAAGCCGGTTTGCCAACATCGCCATTCTGGATCACGTTCAAAAAGTGACTTCATCTGTAGACAAAATACCAAATGCATTTACCGGGTCTTCTCAACTACAACCTAGTTCCATTCTGAATAACAGGTTGTAAATCAAAATGATCTAAGTTAAACTGGTCATAAGTTAAATATAAACACTATTTTAATTCTAACAGGCTTCACAAGTTGTACACAAAACAGAAAAATGTAATCTATGTATGTATAATTACTGTACACACTGTGAAAAATATATCATATGTCCTCTACTGCATCAGTTCCTGTAACTTTTTGACCCGATCAGCGTAGTTATCTTTCATTTTTTACTAATTAGAATTTTTTGTTTCTTAGTGCGTGGTCGTAAGTACAGAGGATAACATCCGATGGACGATGTATCACAGAGATCAAGAACAGAATAGGAGAGACCGAAATTGCATTTTATCAAATGAAGAACATTCTGTGCAATGCATCCATGTCACTGAAGGTTAGCAAAAGGATTATCTCACGCTATACAGAGCCAGTTTTAACATACGGCTGTGAATCCTGGAACAAATTTAACAAGCCAAACAGTTTCTTGAAACCATGGAGATGTGGTTTTACAGAAGAATACTTAGAGAATTCCTTGGGTAGCTAGAAAAAGCAACCCAGAAGTTTTGAAAGAGTCAAAGTCTCTAAGCCGACAGTTATCATTTTGGTCCTTTTATGTAACCTAAGTTAAGGACCCCTTTTTACACCTTCAGGCATATTAGGCATACAGGGTTAGACCCATATTTTAAGGACCAATCGGCACTTGATGGGTGATGTAGTCAGCATTACGCCAGCAGCCTTTACTTCCAGGACCGTAGGCCTTGTTATGAGAAGAGGGAGACTGGAACATGTTGTGATCACTGGAAATATCTGCAGATAGAGACACAGAGAAGGACAACATGAGGAGACTCTTGACAGTCTTTTGTCATGGCATGGAGACGTGTCAACACAAGAGATGATACATGCAGTTGCTGATTGTGGAGAGGCACAAAATCACCCATGCCAGTCGGCAAGGCACTTGATGATAGTGATAAAGTGCAGACGGTTGTAAGTCGCACATGTCTTAAGGCAAAGAGAAGGCTCATTTCCATGCATTAGTTTAGTAAAGTGAAAAGCAGTAAAGCCTTTTCATGCCATTGGCACAATAGGTACATGGTGCTAGACCACATCTGTATAGACCAACTGGCACCTAATGGGTGCTGTGTCCACCATCATGATGGGTGTATCAGATTAAATTTATTAAGTGGGTTCCCGGGCCCCATTGTGGGGTGAAAAGAACAGACCCACTGTTCCCTAACAAGACAGTCACCAAAGGCGATTGAAAGGGGTGTTTCCTTTAACTCTTAGAGTCCCAAGAAACGCATCATACGTTCATAGGTTTCTACCTAGAAGCCTAATGAACGCAAGATGCGCTGATTTTATGACTCTCTTTACTATACCCCCCTGGGTCTGTGATGCTAAACCCCCTGGGACTCAAAGAGTTAAAGCTAGGGTGCATCTGCCTGAGAGGTAATGAACCAACAGTCTGCATACAAATAAGTAATATCTGTAAAACTGATATGCATGCCAAACTAAAGTTCTGGTAAAAGGTTGGAATCCAGAAGTGGATGAACTTCAAGGACCTTCGGCCATAGTTTGCAGCTGGTTAACGCTAAGAAGAAGAAGGTTAACATCATGAAATTATAAGGCTTGACTGGATCAGATGCTATATTTTAGCCCCACCTGTTTCAGGTGTTACTGTAAGTTATGCTGTCTGATATATTTCAAATATTACAGCTGTTTTATAAACAAGTTTTATTAGTTTCAAGCAAGAAAAGTGCTTCAAACAAGAGAAGTTAAAATAACAACTGCATGGGATTTAAAGAGTTAATATGTCCGATATATGCGAAAGAAAACAGTACACTGTATATTTACTGTGTTGAATATTAAGACAACAACACAAAATTAGGACATAATCTCTATGCAACATAAGCTATAAGCTGCAACAGGGTTAATACTTACCTCATGACTTCGAACCAACAGATCATGTGGTATGGGAAACAAATCCTTCACTATTGGATAAAAGGAATCATCCGCCAACACACGGGTTATCAGACGTGGCCAGAACCCACTCGGGAAGTAAGTCATGAAGTACAGGCGGCAGCAAGAGAAGATAGCATTACTTGATGGTTTGATTGCCAGAAGCAGGAGTTTATTAGACTCTTTGCCAGAATTCAGTCCTGCAGACTCTACAAGGTCCTGGCAAAAGATCATGTAAACATTGACAAGAAGTTAACATAAGCACGTTATCAGTGACAATAAGAGAAGCACCAAACAAAAAATAATTACCTTTCATGCATAACAGCTAGGGAAAAATGGGGCATTCACCGGGGGTGCGTAGTTGACCATGTTCTTAGTGCACTTGTTTCCATAGCAAGGTGCACATGCTGTCTGGAGGTAACAGGTTCAATTTCTGGCATGGTATATATAGCTTCTAATTTTTATGTTGTCTAGTGTGTTCTTATATCTTTCTACTTCTTTCTATGAGTGCTAATCTTTACATTGTCTGTTTTCAATTGAGAAAGAAGATAGGCTACTCTGATTCATAGAAAACTGTGGAGGCAGAACCCAAACAATAATGAACAAGGCTACTAAGAATACGATGGGCACTAGGTAAGCTGTTGCCAGATGAAAACCAGAAAAACAAGTGAGATATTATTCATTGACTCTTCACCTGAAGAGGCTAGAAGTGGAAATTGTTAAAACTACACATAACTGTGATTGTTTTTCTCTACTTTACAGATAAACCAGTATCCCTATACTCTAACTTATGCAGAGGCAAAGCATATGTCCTGAGTGCAATAATTTCAAGCCATCATTAATCAATCATGTTCTACCACTAATCAAACCAACTTCTTCATCATCATCATCATGTGCCTTGCCAACAGGTGTAGGTGCTCAAGCGTCTCCACAGATCACGATCCCTGGTTGCCTGGAACAGCTCTCTTAACGATATCCCTCCATGCTATTGTTTCAGCCCATTTTACATCATCTCTCTTGGTCTGCCTCTACCTCTTTTTCACTGATCTTTCCAGTTGTCACTATGTTGTCAAATGTCTCTTTTCTCATTTTGTGGCCAAAGAACAGTGTTTGTCTCTTTCTTATTGTTGTATATTGAAATCTACTTTCATTAGCTTCTTTCAAGCAATCGTTAGTTATTCTGGCCGTCCGAGGTATTTGTAACATTCGTTTCAGAAACCACACCTCTGTTGCTTCCAAATTCTTCTGAAATTTTTTCACTGACATTTCATGATTCAAACAAACTTTTGTTCACTAATAAATGGAATTAATTACAGACAAAAATGAACACAATGTTAACAATAAAAATGATAAATATCAATAATGATAACAATGACAAATATCAATAAGGATAAATGTCAATAATGATGGCAATGATAAATGTCAATAATGATAACAACGATAAATGTCACTAATGACAAAAATCATCAGTATATAGCTTCCTCTGTAGAACATCACTTTTATCACAACATGCCTGATTGAAACTCAGTCTCTCCCCAGTTCTCATGCCTCATGCACTTTCCTATCCAAGGTGTCCCTCATATCCTGTGCCCATCTTCATGTTGGTCAGCTTCTGCCTCACTTTTATGGTACCATGCTTTCTGTCACTATTCTTTCCAATTTGCTGTGAGCAGGTATGGCCAAAATATTTCTGTTTCCAAGACATGATACTGTTTACCAGTTAATTTTTCTTGACCTCAGAGTTTTAAAATTTGTCAGTATATCTTTTCTTCCACTGTATTCTAAGAATCCTCTACAGCATTTTAGCTAAAAGGCCCTTATTTTCATCCCTAATGACTGCAAGATAGTCCACAAATCACATCCATGAGAAAAATATGATTTTGATTTCCTTGCTGGTGCTTAACCATAGACTGTTTAATCTTTTTACTGCTATGGCCATCCTTCTTTAGGTTTCTCTTGAACGGTCTCTATTGTTGTTTATTATGGAGCCTTGATATTAACGAGATCTTCAATGATAATGATGAATTTAATTGCTAAAAATGCTAAATATCAACAATAACTACTCTTTCAGTTCCATATGGTTTCAATGTAGAATTCCAATTTGACACAATAGTCACAGTGAAACAGACATCAGAGTTTAACTTTCATTAGATACAGCATATACTATGCCACATTTAAAGCAGCTGTCCAGATTTCTTTTGCATATCCAGACCAAACATAAAATAGAAAATAAAACACCATTTCTTGCGCTGATACACAGACAGAAGCTGAGCCCACATGGTGCGTTGCTTCGGACAGAAAGAGTTAATGAATATCATAAATGACATCCATGATGACTACAATATCAAGAATGAAAATAACTGTGACTGTCAATGACTACAGTAGTAAACATTAATAATTGCAAAAAATTATAAATGTTGAGAATGTCAACAATAACAAATGTCACTAATGAGAACAGTGACAAATGTCAATAACGATAAAAATGACAAATGCAGTTATGATACCATATATACCTGTGAGCCTGTGTAAAACACAGAGCCACCCACATGAAGCACACTTGGAGGTCCTTCTAGACTGCGACTAGCACGTAACACACGAACTGAATCTGCGCGAGTCTCAAATCCTGGCCGAATCCCAACACTGGCTTCATTTGGTTTCCTCAGAGGGATCTGATATGTTTGAACATTTCTGAGTTCAATTATGTTTGTAATATTTCACTGTCAGTGGCATTCAAAATAAGAAACATTTTATGTCACAAATGATTTATTTGTCAGTGGAATTTGCTATTAAAAAAATGTATGCATTAAAATGTTTATTTGCCAGTGGAATCTTATATGTATAAATGCTTATACATTTGAAATAGTTTATTTGTGTGTGAAACTTTCTTATTGTGTGTTCACTTTTAAATCGGCGGTTGGCAGGCTGTGCTGTGGTTTACAGCAAGGTTGTGATATCTGTGGTTCTCAGCCCAACATATTCAATTGCTTGTTACCTGCTGTCTGTATCATCCTAACATATGGCTCCGACTCATTAATGCTCTGTCTATGATACAGCGGCCATCTCAGTGTCTCCACACTCACCATATCCAGTAGGAGTCGACTGGCACATTAAATTTTAACACTTCTAAATGGTCGCCTTTTATGACCTGATGGTTAGGACTCTATGGGTATGTTCCCTTTCCAACCAAATCTAAACCAGGCGGACTGCATGGAATCCGATATGAAGATATGCTTTAAGATTTGTAAATAAATGCTCGTCTGTGGAATTTGACAAAGACATTTTTAAATAATGTGGATACAAACAATACATTGCACAATTTATTGCCAGGCACATTTCGCTGTATCTCATCAGGTGCGTTACTAGAGTTATGTTTGTATCCGCATTATTTAAATTCATTACGAGAAAACATTGTTTTGAAAGACATTTTTATCTTTCCAGAAATTTTCTACAACAAGCTGATCACCTTCCGCCTAAAGAACAAACCATCTTTAGGCACTGCTGTATTTGAGCACACTAGTACTGCTTTTTCTGTCACACATTCATATTTAAAATAAAACAGCAGAAGTATTATACCTTCTAAGGACATGGAAAAGAAACCTTAGGCAAACGTGAATGAGAGAAGCCAAAGGTGCTGAAGTAGATTCCATCCACAATATTGAAATGATTGGATAGAATGAAAACGGACCGAGAAACAGACTGTAAGCCCTATGTGACATATAATGACACATTAGGACAATGAATGAATGAATGAATGAATGAATGAATGAATGAATGAATGAATAATACCTTCACATCACTCTTCTTGCGGGCCATTTCCAGAAGTTCTGTCTCCGTTGGTAATAATGAGGGTAACAGCAGATGTTCTTCATCAAACTGCAAGGCAACTTCAAATTTATTGAGGAGATTGGTGATATACACTTCACTGTGCTCCATCTCCATCATATTAGACTTGAACAGAACTTCCAGATTTTTCAGTTTCATCACACCTTTGAGAAAGACACAGAAATTCACAATCTCTTATTTTGCAACACCTTTTTGAAAGATGGCAATTTTAAATTTTAAAAACATATTAAACATGAAAGAAGGCATGGAATTTATAAAATGTTTCAAGGGTTTTCCCCCATGCCTTTTAGAAATATACAGACATGTTTGATTGTTCAAAAATTGATTAAACCTACAGTCAGGAAGTGTGGAAAATAAGTCAGTTTCGTATCCTTAACAGGACCTTGCAGAACCAGCCACCGCATTTTTTGGCTATTTTAGTTTTTCTAGGCACATTTTATGTTCAGTAGGCTACCAATGCCTACTGCATGGTCAGCTCTCTTCACCATTATTAAAACCAAGACAGTTTGCTGCCAAATCGTCCACAGCTGGGACTGAACCCGACACACCAGCATTATGAAGCGCATCTGCAACGCCAAGCCACAAATGCAGATGTGGAAAATCTACAGAATGTAAAGACAAAAAAAAACCTTTCCATGCCAATGGTGGTTTTGGCATAAAGGGCTAGAGCCACATTTTTATAGAGCACTCAGCATTCCATGGGTGATATAGTTAACATCATGAAATGGTCAACATCAAATCATCTATTTTTACTTCCCACGAAAATTCCTTGTACCTCTTTTACACTTGGCTGACACCTAGAAGACTAGGTCCATTATTTTAAAAAATTTAAATAAAACTGCTTTTGTGAAGATTCGAACCTAAGACTTACTGGCTGTCAGACGAGTGTATATCAGGGAGTGTAATGGAGCATGATTATGTAGGGGCTGGGCTAATTTTATATTCTGTGAGCACTCAAAAAGAGTGACTGATAGATTTTCAGACTCATAGGGTAAAAGGTTACCCGTGATAACTGATGACATTTCAGGTATTTCAGTTTAGTATGTGTAAGATATTTTGAGGTAGTTTCTTGTTTAATACGTGTTCTATCAGTGATTGTATCTTGATTTGTTATCTGAGGAATGAATGTTACAAGTAATTATGTATTTGAACTTGATGAGTACAAATGCAAAATGAAGTACTGCCATGCTGACAGCTAACAATGGCAGTCAACGCTTGTAACGATTTAGTCTACCTATAACAGCCATGAGAGGTAGCCTGCAATGGTCTGTGTCTTTATTAATTTTTTTTTCCGATACTCTTTATTAACCATTTACAGTCTATCAAGAAGAACGCCAGTGACTTCAGAAAAGTTGACCACCAATGGTAAAGTACCAATTTCTATACCTCGAGATGTAATGAGCATAAATTGCTCATATAAAGCGGGGCATAAAGTGCCCCAATATTTTTATACACTAACCTGCATTACGTAGGAGATGTGGTCAATATCACAACAGCTCATTCATTTCCCAGATCAATTCTTGATGCTAAATTTTAGTTTTGGATCAGCCTAGTAAGCGAGGTCACTTTAAAAAATTTGCCATGATAGGAACCCATATCTATAGCAAGCATGCTAGTCATTTAGCTACCAAGGCTTACCTGACAGAGCAGATGCTGTAAAGCAAAAGTAAAGGACCCTTTTCCCCACCTTCAGGGTATTTAGGGCTAGACCTTAATTTTTTATAGACAAATTGGCACTTGGTGGGTGATGTGGTCAGCGTCACACCGACTGCCTTTACTTCCCAGGGCTGTACCTCATACCCACTCAAGGCTAGGTCAACCTGGGAGTCAAGGTTATTTTTTTTTTAAAAGTCCCGCTCTGTCAGGATAGGAACCCAAGACCTTCCGATCCGCAGGCGGACGTCTAGCCGCCAACGCCAAGGCAAACTCCACATTCACCCACCTCTTTGAGCAAAGTTGTTGATTTCCTTAACGGTGATGACCCTTGCCAGCTGGTCGCACAGCCACTGGGGGTCCAGGAAGAACAGGTCCCGTAGTGGAAGATCATCATAGTGGAACAGCACACCTATATTTATATAAACAAAATATGTAAGCGTAATGGGATGTCGACCATGTTGACTGGCACTGTAATCAGGTACAATAGAACCTCAGGATATGAATTTCATCTGTTCCATGATCAGGTACAATGTAACCTCAGGATACAAATTAAATCTGTTCCATGACTATTTTTCCCATAAAAATTATTTGTAAATAAATATAATTAATTTCAGCCCTCCAAAAATCACCTTTTTTGGGACATTTTTAGATTCATTTATGGGAAAAATGTGTGGTACTGCTTTTGTTTATGTTTTTGCCAGCACAAAAAACCAGGAATACTTAAGACCATGATGTCCATCATCATCAAGTACTGAGTTGACTGTCTTAGGTTCTCCTTCAGCAATGTTAATGTGACCTAATCCATTTAAAAGCTGTTGAAAAGCTGTCGAGTAACGTCAAGAATTCTCATTTCTCCAGCTTGCATCCTGTATTTCGTGTTAGATTCAAGGGCAAAATATTGGTGAGCCTGACCTCATATCCTGAAAAACTTGTAGCCAGACACACCTGTTTCCAGGTACACTAGTATCCCCTGTATTTTCCAACCCCTGAAACTCTAGGAAACTGTCACAGCATAGTTTTCAGAAACTTGCCTCTAATACAGTGATCTGGGCGTAAAACTTAGAATTGGCAGGGCTATTTTTTTTTAAACCAGTATTGTTCTTCAGTAAACTTAAACTTCTAAAGTAAACATTTGAGAACTGTAAGAATTTGCTGGAAATAAATAGCAGTGATAATGGTAACAGGCAACTCTGCTTCCTGAAGGTCATGGCCTTATATAATCAATGGAGCCAGGTACTGCAGTGACTAATGTGGTTCTAAGACAACTCAGTCATCAAGTTCGAAACCACACACAGGATGGGGTCATTTTCACTGACCCATCTTCCAGATCAACCCAGTCCAAAATTTCATTGGAAGTAACAGTTACAGGTAAAATATCATATACAGCACACATAAAATAGTAATAAGTCTTTAAAAAATGAGCTAACACTATGTACCAAATATGCATCACTGTGTAAAACGTGTCTCCAATGCTAACTTTTCACTAGAAATAAATGTAAGTCCAATGTTGAACAGGTAAAAGAACTGTTTTGTTTCTTGTTTTGGTCTAGACCTTGTTACGAGGCCTTATGAAGAGCTGCAATTTACATTCTAGAGCCTTGTGTGTAGCAGTAAATCATTGTTAGATGATGTTTTCAGTCCATTAGCTTCAGGCTCTTTCTCGTGCTCTGTAACCCATTCTTCGACAGTTGTAGGCATACAGGAATAGCCATGAGACTAACTACTTTACAAAAAGTGAATTACTACTCACCATTCTCATGCAAAAACCGGGTGGCTTGCTCCAGTTCCTCCACATCCCTGAATGTAGCTCCTCTTTCCATCATTTTGTTGAGAACACACAATCTGAATCAAGGGGGAACAAGAATTATTTTATAGATTCATCATTGCTAACAAAAAAATACAACATCAGAAATATAACAACAAATAAAACACATATATAGAAAAACTGATGTTACAAAAGTATAACAACTAATTTAACTAAAAAGTATAAGAAATAATTTAACTAATGTAACAAATTAAAGTCTTTAAAAAAAACAAAAAACTTTTAAGCCACTGGTGTATCAGACACATGGTGTTAAAACAATGTTTTTATAAAACAACTGACACTCGACAGGTGATGTGGTCTACATCATACCGGCCACCTTTACCTCCTAGCAGATTTCTTGGTATCAAATTTAGGCTGAATAATCTGGGGCCAAGGTCATTTTATAAAAATCTGACTCAAAGCAGATTAGAATCCAAGGCCTTCTGGTTAGCAGGCAAACGTCTAGCTAAGCGATACTGCAGTTCCCACATAAGATAGACCATTCAAATATGAACAGAACAGATGTATGTGAACTAATCAGGAGCTGCAGGTGATAGAAAAAAAAAAAGAATGCTTTGATATGAGTCGGCTGAGGGGAGGACAATTTCATTTTTCATTGTTTCCATGGTCTTCACTCTGATTAAAGCTTGCTCAGAAGTACACACATTATACCTGTTGAAACTGCAAGAGAGTCACAGAAATTCCTCCACAATAATTGCAGATGATCAACATTTAAGTCTTCTACAGACTCCTTAAAGATCTTTTACCTCATGACCACACTTGAAACTGCTGCTTCTCTACTGACATAGAACTAAGTCATTTCCAATGCCCAGTTCTCCAAAATTAACAAGAACCAATAACTTCTATCAATGGAATTTTAACAACAGTAACAACAACACCTTCCTTTACTGCTTTTATAAACCAGGTTTTAAAGCAGTGTAAGAAAGATAAGTACTGAGACTGAAAATTTAGCAGTGTGGCTAGAACAGTTCTCATGAACTGTGCAGGGTAGAACCTAATTTTTGCCCCTCATAGGAAAAAAAGGGAAATGTCCACAAACCTCGCAAGGAATTCGAATCTAGATCTCCTGCATTAAAGCCTAAAGTTCTAACTACATGACCAGCCACTCCTCGACAACAACATTAATGCAAAATAAATCAAACTTACGTATATTTGGATCTGTTTAGCACAGGTTCTTTGAGATCTTTTAATCTTTCCAAAGCTAGTTCCCTAACAATTTCTTGCAGCAGCAAATACTTGCGTGGAATTTTCTGTTTCACAAGAAACTGTGTCCTGGATCCTGAGTATAGAAGTAAACCAACTTAGGCTATTGTAGATATTCTAGATTAAAACAAATAAATCACCCAAATCATCTAAAGCTATTGCAAGACTTCTGATTAAAACAAATAAATCATCTAAATCATCTAAGGCTACTGCAAGACTTCTGATTAAAACAAATAAATCATCTAAATCATCTAAGGCTATTGCAAGACTTCTGATTAAAACAAATAAATCATCTAAGTATTGGAAGACTTGATTAAAACAAAAAATAATCTAAGGCCATTTCAAGTCTTCTGATTAAAACAAATAAATCACCTCAATCATCTAAGGCTATTGGAAGACTTTTGAGTAAAACAAATAAATCATCTAAGACTATTGCAAGACTTTTGAGTAAAACAAATAAATCATCTAAGACTATTGCAAGACTTTTGAGTAAAACAAAAAAATCATCTAAGACTATTGCAAGACTTTTGAGTAAAACAAATAAATCATCTAAGACTATTGCAAGACTTCTGATTTTAAAAAAAAAATCACATAACAATATATACATCAGAGCTGATCACTAAGACACTTAGGTGTCAGAGCTGGTTATATACAGTTGAGATCAAAGTGTCAGTCCCAAGCAACATATGATCAATGACTGACTCTTCTTCAACGATTTTTCTTATTTTTTTACGACATTGCATCATAGAGAATACAAAAAAATCTGGCTTCATCAGTTGCCAGTTTGCTTTAGTCCTAACAGAAAATAAGAAAATAGTGGGAAAATGACTCCTTCAGCATCTACTGCAAAGTGTTCTGGGACTGAAATAATTAACTGCTAGTTGACAACACATAATACACACACACAGGTACTGACTTTTGAAAGTCTGAAGAAGTTAAAAAATGAGAGTTTACTACACAGAAACATTTTAGCAGCTGGGCACTCTCATCTGCAGATCAGAAGGTTGTGGGCTCAGGTCCTGACAGAGCCACACTTGTTTTTCAAAAATGACCTTGACCTTGACTCCCAGGTCAACCCAGCCTTAAATGGTACCAGGTACAGTCCTGGAAAGTAAAGGTGGCCGGCCTGATGTTGACAATACCCACCGAGGGCTGACTGGTCTATAAATATATATATATATATATATATGACCAATACATCTGAAGGTATAAAAAAAGGTCCTTTCTTATAGGTATAAACAGAAATGAAAACTAACTTGGATGTTTGAGTTCAAAAGCATTTTCATATATAACATCCACCAGCATTTTGATGTTCTCGCCCGTCTTGCAGCTGACATTCACTGCGGTCAGAATATTGGGCAATCCGCTCTTATCTGGCTCAGGATTGGATAAAAACATTTTCTGTATAAGCAGCTTCATGGACTCTTCAAAATCTTCTGGATAATTCCGCCTGGTTGTCTTATCATGGAGGATGTCGAGGTGAGTGCCTACAATGACCACTGGTGCTCCAGGTGCACGAGCCTAGAAAATTGAGGATAAAATCCGTTAACTAAAAGAAACTTTCACCTCTATACTATACTTTAATTTTATCTAAGATCTCAAATCTCTTCCTTTTTTTCATAAATGTTACTTCTCAATAATGTATAGGTCCTCATTTAACTCTTTAAACTTGTCCACGACTGTTTTGATTTTGTGGCATAGGATTTATGTTGTATGAAGTTGCCAGTCTCCCACCAACACTCCTAAATAGCCTTATGTAACTTGCATAATAAGTCATAAGTCAGTGTTACCATAACTTTCTGCCATAGGTTACAGCTGTGAACACTAAGAAGAAGAAGAGCAGAAGATGGAAAAAGGAAGGCAAAGAGATAATATCTTGATGGCTTGGCGACATGGAGATAGCAGGATCCCAAAAAAAAGACCTTATCTGGTAATTGCTTTGGATGGTAAATAATGACTGCTCACACCTACTGCATGACACATTATGATGATGTGAAGTAAATGTTTAAAACAGGAGATCAGTATTTGAAGTTTATAAATGATGCTGCTTATGCCATCTAACCCCACCCCAGCTACAGCTATATCACAGCTATTTACAATGTTTGACTGTTTAAAAATAATTCATAGGATATTGAAATATTACTCACCTGTATGTTAACAAGCCACTGCAATAAGCTTTCCACTCCTCTCTCTCCGTCGATGATGCTCCATACAACCAAATACAGAGATCGAGGTGACAGGAAGTACTGATGTGTGGCATAGTACTCTCTCTAGAAGATACAAGTTAATACTAAAAACTGATAAAACTGTCAGTGAATGTTAATACTTTTCCTATATACTGATAATACTTTGCATGAATGTTAATACTTTCACTATATACTGATAATACCTTCCATAAATGTGTGACAAAATGACCTCAGTGGTCTCAGAAGTTATATTGTGTTTAATAATTTCTTCTGTTAAAAAGTCTATGGTTAAGCACCAGCAAGGAGATAAAAATTAGAATTTTGAGAGCATGCATCTTCCCTGTGGCTACATACGGATGTGAGTCATGGACTATCTCTCAGTCCTTAAGAAAGAGAATAGGGGCTTTTGAGCTGAAATGCTATAGAAAGATTCTCAGAATATCTTGGACAAAGAAGATGGGAAATATTGACATCTTAAAAGATCTTAACATCAAGGAAGATTGGCTAATAAATAGCATCCTTTCTCGAAAGCTGAAATATTTTGGTCATATCAAGCGCCACGACGGATTGGAAAAAATTACAGAAGAAGGCATGGTACCAGAAAGGGGTTGGGGGGCAGAGGCCTAATGACACGAAGATAGGCACAGGATATAAATGACTCCTTGAGTGTGAAAGTTCATGAGGCGGGAGAACTGGCAAGAGACCAAGTTTTTTACAGGCAGACTGTGATGAGAGCGACGTTCTGCAAAAGACCTGCTACATGATGATGATGAATTTTTTATGTTCAGATAAGGACAATGAATTATACTCAATATACACTGAGCCTAAATATTACTAAAATCCACCACAAGGGATTTGAAAATTGTTTAAACTTTGTTTTCCCGTCTCTCGCCAGACAAAGCAACCCCGCTTTGTGTAATATTACCTAATACTATCTTAGATAGAGATTCATTTCACCAGCCAGTGTCATATAGTTATCGCCTGGCCACAGTCTGTAAGGGCCAGCAAACAGGGAACTATTATCACACCTGAGATTATCTCCCCAGAGCTGAACCTTAGTGTCATAAATGTTACATAACACAGACTGAGTGGAGCCTTTTGAACAGAGCAGATCAGGGGAATTAAGTGGACTGATAGACCTGGCGGCATCCTCTGGACAGTTTTAACACCTGCCAGTTAGATTAGGTGTAAACTAGATTGGGCCACTTAAGAATGGTTGCTCATAGAGGGATGTCAGTCCGGAATTGATTGACAGGCACTTGTTAGCTAATTTGATCTGCAAGGTACCTCAGGGGCATGGCTTAGATCATCTCCTGGAGGGTTGGGTAGAACCTAGTAAAGGGAGGAGTTTAACCTTGCAAACATATAGAGGTATTAATAATACAAGCATCTGGAGTTTACTTCATTCACATCGCAGCCACCGGCAACAAACTTTCAGTGAATACTGTTAATACTTTCACTATATACTGATAATACTTTCAGTGAATACTGTTAATACTTTCACTATATACTGATAATACTTTCAGTGAATACTGTTAATACTTTTACTATATACTGATAATACTTTCAGTGAATACTGTTAATACTTTCACTATTAACAGATAATACTTTCCATGAATGCTGGTAATACTTTCACTATATACTGGTAATACTTTCAGTGAATATATACTGTTAATACTTTCACTATATATTGATAATACTTTTCATGAATGTTAATACTTTCACTATATATTGATAATACTTTCCATGAATGTTAATACTTTCACTATTTATTAAAAATACTTTTCATGAATGTTAATACTTTCACTATATATTGATAATACTTTCCATGAATGTTAATACTTTTCACCATATACTGATAATACTTTTTAGTGAATACTTTTAATGCATACTGTTAAAAGTTTCAATGAATGTTGAAAATATTTTCAATGAACAAAATAATACAGATCTTAGATTTTTTCACAATAACTCTGCAAATATCACTACATTTCATTAGAGACTGAAATCCAAAACTTTCACTGAATTAACATTTTTGTTAGTTGCGTATCCTTTACAGGACATTGTAGAACCAACCCCAGCATTTTTTGGCTGATGTGGTTTTTCTAGGAAAATTTTACGTTCAGTAGTTTGCTACTGCTTTCTAAACAGTTAGCTCTTGGTACCACTGTGGAAACCAGTGCAAGACAAATCGTCTGCAACAGAAGTCAAACCCGGCACCTCGGCATTAGGAAGCGCTTTCTCAATGCCTAAGCCACAGACGCCGACAAATGAACATACAACCTACAAACAAAAAACAATGAAACACCAAGACCAGGAATTAAAAGAAAGTGACTTAAAAAAATTATTTAACTCTACCTGCCCACCAAAATCCCAGGTTCTGAAAACAACAGGTCCCTTGCTTCGCTTCTCTAAAACCAGTTCATTGATATCTATACCCACAGTTGACAGCAGGGTGGCTTGTTTTTTGCTCTCCTGTTTATTAACACGGTCCATCCAGTGCTGCAGATCAATAGACACAAGAGGCAAACAAGTAATAAATAGTAGAAACCTGCCATGAACCTTCGAGAATTCTATATTAGGTTGGCCCCAATATAGAACATAATTTTTTTGTTATTTTAAAATCCCACCCCAACTGTTGTAACCTAACGGTTAAACTGGGTTTCTGGGGCTTGTACCCAGGTGATCCTCATCCATAGATATAATAGAGAATAACAATTACCCCAAAAAAAAAAAACTATACTAAATATATTCTGAGAGTACAGTAAGCATAGGAAGCCACCGTGTTGTAACACCTAGATGCTTGCCTGCAAGTTCTAAGGACTTTTTTTAAAAATCACCTTGGCTCCCAAATCAACCCATCCTTAGATGAGTACCAGGTAAAGTCCTGGAAAGTAAAGGTAGGCAGCATGATTTTGCCCACATGACCCACAGAGTGCTGACTGGTCTAGCCCTAAATGCCCAATACGCTTAAAGGTGTGTAAAAGGGTCCTTTACTCTACAATAAGCTATAGGAGAATTTTCTACTAAAAGGGTTCTTAGAACTATCTAGGCTCATAAAAATAAAAAGCAACAGAATTGTTCAAACAATTTTTTTAGCAAGAAAAGATAATGAGCACATAGAACTGGCAACCACAAAGTAACAACCTAGAAGATATGAAGGCCTAACATTTCCCACCTCAGTGGAAGTATCTGTGATGGGGCTACCCTTACATTTTGCTTTAACCCTTTGGAGACGACACGGCCGAAATACTGGCTCAACACAAAGTAGCCAAAAGGACGACCGTACCGATCGGTCAGTCCTATATAATAGAAGCCTTGACATTGGATGGCAGTTTTTCGTACCCGCCAATCAGACTGCTTCTGGCATTTCTTGCATATGTGGGCTGTTCACTGACCATTTTTGAGAAAGTTTGATGTGTTCTGTAATTTTACATAATTTTTTTTTCTGGGGTTACCTGTGCCCAAAAATGGCAAAAAAAACTGTTGCATCATAGCAACCGAATCATAGCTGGAGGTAAGAAAATGAGTATAACCATGTATCTGACATGTCTGAAGGGCCTTTAAGTGCATTACTTCCCAAAATACAGGTGTTAGGACTTATTCAAGCTTCATCCATTAAAAAAATTCACCAAAATTTGTAAGGTTAGTTATGCTTGTTCCCAATATTTTTTTTTTAAATTGCGTGCATAAATTATTCAAATCAGAATATTTAATTTAAATAAATGTTGAGATTTCAGTTTGATTCATAAATATTCTGTTAGTTTATTCAATTTCCTACACGAATATATATATAGTTTTGTATATGTTAATTAGACGCTTTAAAAAAAATTATTTTTTGTGTACAAACTATGAAAATCACCTCCTGACGGCTTCGTCTTCTTGGCACCGAAACTCCAAAAAGGCACTGTTTCCAAAGGGTTAAAATTAAGTTACAAATCTGTCAGACCATGAGGCTTACCAAGAAGATTGTGGAGAGATCATAAACAGACCTACAAACACTTGGAGTCACCAAATGGAAAGAGAAGGCCAATCATAGTGACGAATGGAGGTGGGTGACATTTGCATAAAGGAACCGAAGAAGAAGAAGCATATTTATTAAACTGTCTTTGAACATAAGTATATTATAAGTATAAATCTGTGGATTGAGAATATTTCCAGCAGGCTATGATGGGAGAGATGTTCTGGACACAACAGGACAAGTCCTGCTTCATAATACGGTCTTTCCCCCACCCCCCCCCCCCCCCCCCCCATTGCCTCTATCTTATATTTATGGTATATCTGTATGTTATTTTTACGCCTTAAATACTTTCAAATGACATATAGACTACTCATACTGGCTGTCATATAATTTACGTGCTGATGATAAATATTTTTCTGTCTCAATCATTTCTTTCAAATTAAAACTTATGCGATGCACATTATTATACCCTCTCCTCCCCTGCTTTAAGCACGCTGTCTTCCATTTAAGCGTATGCCGTCAACCAACTCATGCCAAGAATTTCCTTTTCATTTTTACTTCCATATTTTTCCCATATTAGGGAGCCATAGCAGTGTAGTGGCTAGATGTTTACCTGCTCCCCTAAAGGTTGTGGTTTTGAATCTGCATTGAGTCAGACTTTTCTTTTCAATGACACTGGCTCCTAGGTTAACCCAGGGAAAAATGAGTATAACACCATGTCCTGGGAAGTAAAGGTGGCCGGTGTGATGCTGACTACATCAACCATCCAGTGCTAATTGTTCTATAAAATATGAGTCTAGCACCATATGCCTAATGGGCAGCTTTTTTTTTTATACACTATCTTTCTAGCAGAAAATTCTACCATACAGCCAAACCAAGTCTGCCAACAACAAAATACTAAAAACAGAAACAAATGAGATGACCGACTCACAGTAGCTTTCTGTGGGAGCTTGCCTTTCTCACAGAGTCTTTGTAACAAAGATGTCTTGCCAATTTTATGGTAACCAACAAGCATGAGATTCATACAGTTGTATTCCGTGGACCTAACAATGGTATAAGGGAAAAATCATATGGTAACCGACAAGCATCAGATTAATACAGTTGTATTCCATGGACCTAACAATGATATAAAGGAATAATCATACAGTTGTATTCTGTGGACCTAACAATGGTATGAGAAAATAATTATACAGTTGTATTCTGTGGACCTAACAATGGTATAGGGGAATAATCATATGGTAACCGACAAGCATCAGATTAATAGAGTTGTACTCCATGGACCTAACAATGGTATAAGAAAATAATGATACAGTTGTATTCTGTGGACCTAACAATGGTATAAGAAAATAATGATACAGTTGTATTCTGTGGACCTAACAATGGTATAAGAAAATAATGATACAGTTGTATTCTGTGGACCTAACAATGGTATAAGAAAATAATGATACAGTTGTATTCTGTGGACCTAACAATGGTATAAGAAAATAATGATATAGTTGTATTCTGTGGACCTAACAATGGTATAAGAAAATAATGATACAGTTGTATTCTGTGGACCTAACAATGGTATAAGAAAATAATGATACAGTTGTATTCTGTGGACCTAACAATGGTATAAGAAAATAATGATACAGTTGTATTCTGTGGACCTAACAATGGTATAAGAAAATAATGATACAGTTGTATTCTGTGGACCTAACAATGGTATAAGAAAATAATGATACAGTTGTATTCTGTGGACCTAACAATGGTATAAGAAAATAATGATACAGTTGTATTCTGTGGACCTAACAATGGTATAAGAAAATAATGATACAGTTGTATTCTGTGGACCTAACAATGGTATAAGAAAATAATGATACAGTTGTATTCTGTGGACCTAACAATGGTATAAGAAAATAATGATACAGTTGTATTCTGTGGACCTAACAATGGTATAAGAAAATAATGATACAGTTGTATTCTGTGGACCTGACAATGGTATAAGAAAATAATGATACAGTTGTATTCTGTGGACCTAACAATGGTATAAGAAAATAATGATACAGTTGTATTCTGTGGACCTAACAATGGTATAAGAAAATAATGATACAGTTGTATTCTGTGGACCTAACAATGGTATAAGAAAATAATGATACAGTTGTATTCTGTGGACCTAACAATGGTATAAGAAAATAATGATACAGTTGTATTCTGTGGACCTAACAATGATATCAGGAAATAACCATACTAGCTGAAAACACACAGCTATATAATTTTACAAACATAATCTTTTGCTTCTTCTTGACTTCCTCTTTTACCACTTCAGATGTTTAGGAAGAGATAAGGTACAGTAGATTCTTGCTCTTCTGGCTGTCTCGATCATAGTCATACAGTGTTATGTTGGACAATCCTGTAGCAAATATTTAGCTCTCATTTTTTAAAATTCTGTAGTTACATTCATTTGTCAATACCCTCCATCTTTGGCTAATTGAACAAGTGATTTTGTCAACCTGTTATGTCCTGTGTGGTGTCTAAAAGAGAATAGACCCTTTGCCGCCCAATAAGCATGCCTAAAAGTAAACTAATTATGGACCATTTCCTCTGAAGTCAAGAGTGCATCTGCCTGAGAGGCAAGAAACCAAGCCTGCAAACAAAAAACCAGATGTGTAGAGCGGATGTGCATGCAGAACTCAAGTTCTGGAACAAGACTGAAGTCCAGAAATGGACAAACAACTAGAACTTTTCGGCTGGAGTTTACAGCCGGTGAACGCAAAGAAGAAGATGAAGAACACATCATCATCATCAGGTGCCTTGCCGACTGGCGTGGGCGATCATGCCTTTCCATAATTTGCGATCTCCTGCAGCATGTATCAGTTCGTGTGCCGACACACCTCCATGCCATGCAACAAGACTGTCAAGCTTCTTCTCTCGTTGTCTTCCTCTATCCCTCCTTCCACTTGCTTCAAGTTTTCTTTGGAATGTCTAACAAAGAGGAACACTGGCTTAGCAAAGCCGGTCTCAGGTTAGGTCATCTCAATATTTGCCATCTTATGAGGAAGCTGCCTGAACTGTCCCTTATTCTCAATCAAAATTTCCATATGTTTGGCCTTAGCGAAAGTCGATTAACTGTTAACATTTCAGATGAAGACATATTTATTAAAGGCTTTACAGTTTTTAGAAGAGATGGGTGTGTGAAACAAGAGACAAGTATAGTGGTCTACATAAGTATTTCCCTTAATGTTCACCGTAGGCAGGACTTAGAGACTAGTGAGGTAGAATGTATATTTTTAGAAGTTAAACTAACAAATCACAAACCCATCATGGTTGGTTACGTCTATCGAAACCCTAGCGCTGGGGCTATGTGGTATGACAACTTCACCATCATGATGGATCCATTGTTTACCAGTGCCAATGAAATCATAGTTTCAGGAGATTTTAATATTGATGCTCAAAAATCAAACAAAACATGGAAAAATATAATTGCATCATATAATCTCCAACAATTAGTCGAGCAGTCTACTAGAGTAACGAACTCTTCCTCAACCATTATAGATCACATATATATAACATGTTCACAAAACATCATAGAATGCAAGGTCCCCAACTGTACAATGAGCGATCATTTTCCAACTTGCATTACATGGGGTAAAAGAGGCACAAAAATCCCAAAGCATAAACATATTAGCATAAAATTTAGAAGTTATAAAAATTTCAGTCAAGATGCATTCTTAAAAGATTTACTTGATTCCCCCCTGAACCATGTTTATCAACTCCCTGATCCAGATGAAGCCCTGGAGTATTGGTTGAAGACCTTCCTTGGGTTGTTTGATAAACATGTACCAATGAAGGAAGTCAGAGTAAAGCGTCAGAGTAAATCACCATGGATTATCCAGGAAGTAATTGAGATTATAAGAGAGCGAGATGGGGCACATAAAAATAAGGACTTTGTAACATATAGGATTTTGCGTAATAAAGTTCAATACATTATTCGAAAGGAAAAAAAAGAATTTCTTTACTAAATTAGTAACAGATAAAACAAACAGTAAAGATATTTGGAAGGCAATTAACACCTTGACTAACAGTAACAATTCATCACGCTTGTTTACATCAAATCATGTTACATCAGACGATTTTAGTTACTTCTTTCAAACAGATATAGAGCAGTCGAAGGCTGCAATACCACATTATCCATGTGATTTGTCCTTGCTGTCCTCGTTTTGTGAGACTAAATGTTCAAATGATATTCCTTCTGACATGCCGCTCATGTCAGTTACTGAAGTATTCACATTTCTCACCAGTTTAAAAAACAATAATGCTTCAGGTTTAGATGGAATCAGCAATAGGATCCTTCGGTGTGCTGCTTCAGTCGTTTGCGAGTCGTTAACTTTTATATATAACCAGTGTCTTGCCAAAGGCTATTTTCCTTCAGCCTTCAAAACTGCCAAAGCATATCCACAACTTAAATCTGGCTCTTTGGACAGTAGTCTCCCAAGTAGCTATCAAAGCCGCTAGAAAAACACATTCACAAAATAACACTCCAACATCCAGATAATAAAAAACTCATAATTGATAACCAATCAGGATTTCGACTAAAGTATTCGTGCCATACAGCCTTAACAAACTGGCATCAGAATATTCTTCTTCTTCTGCCTTCCTATCCCCCAATGGAGCATAGGCCCTCAACCAACTCACGCCAACTCGTTCTATCCTTCGCCATTGCATGGAGCTCTCCCCATGTCCTCCCAATCTTTCTAACCTCGTTCTCCAGCTCTCTTATCCATGTGTTTTTTTACCTTCCTTTATTCCTATGTCCCTGTGGGTTCCAATGCAAAGACATTCTAGTAATGCTGTTCTCCTGTTTTCTCAGTGTGTGCCCTATCCAAAGCCAGCGTCTTTTCCTCACTTCCTGATCCACTGGAGCCTGTTTAGTTCTCTCCCAAAGTTCTACATTAGTTATTCTATCATACCATTTTATTCCCTCTATTCTGCGCAGGCACCAGCTAATGAATGTCTGTAATTTATTAGTAATTGCCTTGGTTGTTCTCCATGTTTCCACCCCATACAATAGTACTGATTTGACATTAGAATTTAAAATTTTTAGTTTAGTATTTCTTTTAATTTCTTTTGACCTCAACAAATTCCCTAGTGCTATGAAAGCCCCTCTTGCCTTTTGAATTCTTATTTTAATATCTCTATCAGTTCCTCCATCTTTATCTACATTACTGCCTAAATAGGTGTACGACTCCACGTCTTGGAGTGGGGTGCCATGGCATCAGAATATTAACGAAGATAAAATTGCTGTGTGCGTGTTTATAGACTTTAGAAGAGCCTTTGACATGATAGACCATACTATCCTTATTAGAAAACTAGAAATAATGAACTTCAATTGTAATCTATTCACGTTATTAAAATCCTTTTTGTTAAATAGGAAACAGGTAGTTTCATATAATAAATCCCTGTCGCAGACTACTGTGGTGAATACTGGAGTACCCCAGGGCTCTATTCTTGGCCCTCTGTTATTTGCCATTTATATAAATGATTTTCCTTTGTGTCTGTCGTCGCCGTGTAATTTATTTGCAGATGACTGTACAGTCTATACAAGTGCTCAAACGTGTGATATTTTAGAGTCATCTTTACAACAGGAATTAAACAATGTGGTTTCCTGGAGCAATGCAAACTGCATGCAAATAAACATTAGTAAAACAAAATGCATGTTAATATCAACAAGACAAAAACTATATTCTTTATCTGCACATAATACGCTTCAGCTCTACATCAATAACAACCCAGTAGAATGTGTAACTGAGCACAAAGCTTTAGGCGTAATTATTGATAGAAATTTAACCTTCACTTCTCATGTGCAAGCTCTAGTGAAACAAACAGCTAAAAAAGTATACCAGCTTGCAAAAATTAAACACTTTCTGCATGAAAACACCAGAAGGATATTTTACACCTCCCATATTCAGACCCATCTAGACTACTGCTCCACAATATGGGATGGCTGTCTAAGTTTAGTCATGAAACGGCTTAAAGCACTTCAAAAATGAGCTGTACGCTTAGTCAGTAATAATCAGAGACATTTCCAGTATACATAAAGATCTTAAGTTACTCCCCTTCCATAAACGACTACTTTTCAATAAGGCCAAAGTCATTCACAAAATCTTATCCAAAAATGCTCCCGATTACCTTTTGCCATTCTTTAAGTATAATGGGCGACATAGCAAACACCTAAACATATTACACATCCCTTGTACAAAACAAGCTTGGCGTACTCTGCAGCTCATCTGTGGAACAATCTTCCACAACCAATCAAAAATATCAACAACCCCTATAAATACAATTGGAAGCTTTTTGAATATTATCTCACTTCAGACTACATGCCCCCTTAGAAGATAATAGTTTCATGAGAATATTGTTGATTTCCACCAAGATTTATTACATTTAGTATTATACTTGTTTTAAAATGTGGGCATACTTAGAGTACACTGTTACAAAGATGTTGTTAATGATGCTTATGAATACTATTATTATTATTATTATCTGCTAAAACAATGTGTGCATGAATAGTGTATGCATGGCGTGAGGCCAGAAGGGCAGAATGTAAGACGGGCCTGTGTGCCCAATTCTCAACCCTTTGAAAATAAAGTTTGTTCGTTCGTTCGTTCGATCTTTTCAGTGGTCACAACATGTTCTATTTTCCCTCTTCTCATAACGTGGCCAAAAATGATGACTGTCTCCTTCTGATGTCTGTGATAAGTTGTCTTTGGGCTCCCGCCTCTTTCAAAACCTCTTGGTTTGCTCTTTTTGGCTGTCCAAGGTATTCTAAGCATTCTTCTGTAAAACCACATCTCTGAGGCCTCTAAAAATTGTTTGGCCTGCCCTCCGATTGTCCAGGATTCACAGCCATATGTTAACACTGGATGTATGTAGCAAGCAAGAATTTTTTTTCTAACTCTCAAAGACAAGGATATATTGCACAAGATGTTTTTCATTTTATAAAATGCAGTGTATGCAGTAAATTATTGCACAAGATGTTTTTCATTTTATTAAATGAAATCTGAAATATTCTTTAAAGATAGAGCCTAGCTGTAGCAAATAATTGTTAAAGTCAAACAGCAAACAAGAAGAACACATACATAGGCTATTAGGATTACTAAAGAACAGCTCCAGTATTTTAATGTTTTATACTGATAGGAGATGGCAGCTATGGTGGCACAGCAGCTAGACACTTATTTGCTGGCCAGAAGGTCAAGGATTTGTATCTGCACCATGGCATATTTTTTCAGAACTGACCTTGTCACCCAGGTCACTACAGCATAAAACAGTGTTCTGGGAAGCAAAGGTTGCCAGAGTGATGCTGACCATATCATCCATCCAGTGCAATTCATTCATTCATTAGTCTGTTGTCCTATTATATGTCACACAGGACTTAGAGTATATTCCTCCGTTCCATTCTATCCTGTGCAAACAGTTTAATATCATAGGTGAAAACCAGTCCAGCAGCTTTGGCCTCTCTCATCAACATCTGTTTTAGGGTTTCTTGTGAGCGTCCTCGCATCATTAATCTCTTTATTTCCCATTTTAATGCCTGTTTGGTGATACTCTGCTGGTTTCTTCTCAGGATGTGTCCAATGTAGCGCCATCTTCTCTGCCCCATAACTGTTGACACTAGTGGTTGCCCAGATATTTATATAATTTCTTCACTCCTTCTGAATTCATCCTAATTTTATGTGACTATTATCGAGTTAAGTTGTGTGCATGTCTGGCCACTAACTTCCACACAGCGGTATCTGGTGTGATAATCAATCGGTCTATAAAAAATATAGGTATAACACAATATTCTTGAAATATCTTTTTTTTTAAAGGAGGGGGGTGGGAGCCTTTTATTTAACCAACAGGAGGTGTAAGGCTACTCGCTCACTCAGCAAACCAGAAGGGACATGTCTGGCTAGCCAAACCTTGTGGTATATCAAGAGAAAGGGAAAACTGGTATACATTATGGACATCAGCATCCCCTTTCACACCATGAGGAGAATGATGTTTGCGATGCTAGCCCATACTTTTAGACCATCATGAAACAATATCAAACCAAATGAAAAGTCCACCAGCGAACTTCACAATATAACAAATACAGTCGGAAAGTGAATGCTGCAGCTATAGAGCTTTCAACATACATTTAGATTTGCACTTAATGGATAATGTGATAATTAACTATCAAGTTGGCTGCCTTTACTGCCCAGGAAATTTCATGACATCTATTTTAGGCTGAGTTGATCTGGCTGTTGAAGTCACTTGGAAAAAAATTTCCTCGACAAATTTGCTTGATGGTAAAGTATACTTGCAATGTGTATCTGAAATATTCTTTAAAGATAGAACCTGGCTGTAGCAAATAATTGTTAAAGCCAAACAGCAAACAAGAATTCTTACAGTCAGTGAAATACAAATTATTTTAAAAAAAATTACATTTAGAATTTTGGTAAAGTGAGGAGATCAGAGAAATGTCTGGACAAATACCTGTATCAACTGCAAGAAGACAAAGAAGGTGGACATGTACTGGGCAAACTCTAAGATGAAAAAAGCAAGGAATTATCAAACAAGCAGTAAAATGGGAAACAAACGATCTGAGAAAAAGAGGTTGTCCAAGAGAAACATTAAGAAGAACATTATTAGGAAAAGTTACAAACACTGGGCTGAATTCCACATCAGAAATCAAGAGAGTTGCATGCAACAGAGCTGAGTGGAGGAATAGAATGCAAGCCTTATGAGACGTCTAATGGCACATGAAGAATGATGACGATGATGAGAATAAATCCAAGCATTTTTATTTAGCAACAGATACAAGTGATGATGTTAGGTTAGGCTAAGCATAGAATTAAAAAAAAACAATTTCCTAAATTGTCCTTACATATTCAGTCAGCAAACGTGTTGCCATAACTTTAATTTATTGTTTCATTATTTTATTGCTTGATTATTAATATTCATTCAGGTGAAGCAGATTCAAATCTATCAATTTTCTAAAGATAACTCACTCTTCAAGCACAGACTGGAGGAACCCCAGGATATCCTTCACCGGGAACCGTGAATTGAGCATATAGTCTTGTATAGCTCCATCTAGAGGACACATTTCCAGATCTAGTTTCCACAGACTCTTTAAAAGACCAAGCTTGGGAGGCAGCTGAAAGTTGAGAATAATTATGATGGCCTTTAACATCTATATGTTATTCAAATAAAGAATAGATAAATGGGCAGGGAATTTATTTTTGGAATTTATTTTTTTCAACTAATGAAGTAAACAACTGGCAAAAAAAATAATAGTAGCACTGTGAATCTTTTTATTCTTCTTCAACTTTTTAGATTTCCTGCTTCTTTCTTTCTTCATTTTTATTTTTCTTCCTTTTTTTATTTCATATTCTTTACAACATATTGTCTTCTTTATTATTTACTATCTTCTTCTTCTTCTTTCTTTCACCTTCTGCTTTATTCTTCTTTATCCTTCTTCATCTTCTAGCTAGGACTTCTTTATTCTTCACTTGACCCGCAACCCCCTATGTAAGAGTATGTGTGTATTTTTTAGTGTGTATGATTCAATATACATGATGTGTGCCCTTATACATAAACATAACATGCTTGACTCATAACAGGCTATTCTGGTCTGAAAGATCAGTGCTCGGAAAGGCCAAATTTGTAACTAGGTGAAAATACAGTTTGTTCATTTACGCACATGTGTGTGTTTTGTTTTGCTTTCTTTCAACTGAGTTTCCTAGTTAAATTTGTTTCACTACGCCCCTTCAAGCCGCTGTGGTTTAGCGGCTAGATGCTCGCCTGCAGATCGGAATGTTGTGGATTAGGGTCCTGAAAGTCGGCCTGATCTTTTTCAAAAATGACCTTGATTTCCAGGTCGACCCAGCCTTGAATGAGTACCTGGGAAGTCCTGGCCGATGTAATGCTGACCACATCACCCACCAAGTGCCGTTTTGTCTTTAAAATATAGACCTAGCCCTATATACCCAATACCCCTGAAGGCGTGGAAAGAGGATCCTTTACTTTTCTCTTTTTTACACCCAATCAATGCTAACAGAAGGTTGAGTGGGGTCAGCTCTGGATCTCCTAATGCAACTAGTCAAGCGATGAATTTCTGACTGCATACATCCTTTTTTCCTTCCCTGTTTCTTTAGTCCTCAATAAATTATGGTGTACAGTGACGCTGAAATCTAGACAATATTTATTTCTAATAATACACAGCACAGAGTATGTTACAAAACAGACACCAGAGATTTCCCCGTGAGAAATTATGGCAGAGACAGTTGATCACCTTATTAACCCAAATGTATGCAATCAGATCATTTCACAAATTAAGTATCAAACTTAGCTTTGATCAGCCTTGTAAAATTATAAATAAAAGAGATTTACTGAGAAAAAAACATACATAACAATCACAATACCTCATAGTGCTGTAAGCTAGTATATGTGATACTATAATTTTAGAATTATATGGCAGTATCTTTTATTACTTTAAATACAGTAAGTAAAAAGGAGATTATAAAACAAACCTCACGAAGTTTGGTGTTTCCTTTAAGAGACAGAATTCGCAAGTTACTCAGCTCTCCAATATCAGGAGGTAAAGACAACAACTGATTCCCACTTAAGTTCAGTTCTGATATATTTGGGAAGAGCAAGCGACTTTGTACCTCTTCTGATTCCAAGCTACAGATCTGGAAAAAAAAAAATCATGAAAATTACAATGTGTCTGAATGTCTTCTTCTTTTTCTTGTGATAATTTCTATGATTTACACTGACAGATGAGTTCTTGTGACATAATTGACTGTTTCTGTTCGAAGTTCCCCTTTGGTTCTATTCAAATCTTGAGTACAGTGTTGAATCACTGGGCCAGTTTTCCCTTCTTTATGGGCTGTATTGGATCGTCTTTCAGGACATGTTCTGCATATCTAAAGTAATTTTTGAGGTATTATAGAATGTTACTATCAGCAGTAACTATCAGCAAACAAAGGAGAACTTATAGTCCATGCTGTATAGTTAGTTAGTTAGTCCTCCTCTTGTGTCGAGTGCGGCACATAGGGCAGAGGTCATGACTCTCCATGCATGGCGGTTAGTTGCAATCTGTTGTAGCTCTTGGATGTTTGAGTGGCCCATGAGCGAGCCTTCCCTGATGATAGTTCTACGTAGAGTTTCCCTTGGTCTTCCACGAGATTTTTTCCCCAGTGGTAAGGAAGTCTTGATTTATCCATTCTAAGGGCGTGGCCGACATAGTTCCAGCGGCGTTTTCGTATAAAATTAGACACATACTCTTGCCTGGATTCTTGCCTTATTTGTGTATTGGTGTAGCACTGCTTAAAATGTCTATTCACAACCTTGTGATCTGTGCACTGCCAATCATTTCTGATAAAGATGTTCCTTTATGTCATGTTGCTAAACTGTCTCATTATCCCCTCTCTCCAAGTCTCTCCCCACCTTCATTCCTCTCCAGCTTTCTTGATGTCTCAGTGTACTCCCGTTTTCTCTTCTCAAGAAGTATTAGTTGTCCTCTTGTTTTGCAGGTTAATCTTTGCATTGTGAGTTATTATCAGGACACCATGTGCTTTATTTGTGCATGGCGTTATATTTTTTTTTGTACAGAAAAATGTTACAAAGGGCATCACTGTTGAATATTTCATTAAATAATACAATAAAAATAGTTGCTATGTCAAGACAATCCTTGAAAATAGCATAGAATGGTAAGCAAGGTATCTGAACACTAATTTGAGATAAAGAAACAAGACAAACATACTGTAGATAAACAAAACCAGGAATAACAAAACAAACTGCACAATTTGATTAAAGAAAAAGCAGCTAGAATCAATATCATTAAATTTTATCTCTAAACTGAAAACTCCACTATCATAATTGTCCAATACACTCAGCCATCTGTATCGTCTGTCACTCCTACAGGCTTCTTCTAGTTCATCTGCTGATGTTGCCAACCTACACATTACACTGTCTTCCTCTGCCTTTTCGTCCAGCACATAGCTGAAGTAGCTGATCAGTATAACCTTAACCTTAATCTCATTGAGCAATGTGATTAGTGTCACACTGGTCATATTCACCAGTGTTGCCACTTTTCTTTGACAAAAACATCCCAAACGGAGTCAAAAAATATCTAAACAATCTAAATTTGTGTGGAAAACCTCTAGTAAAAACATCCAAATGGAAAGAGTCACAAATGACATAGCAATTGATATGACTTACCCTATAGAATCATGTCCTCATCTTCACTGATGTCTGCCTCACAAGATCCTCAGGATAAACTTAGCTCGGATGATGAAGTTGAAGCTTCACATCCAAAATGACTCTGGTATGCTTTAGCTGTTACAAGCTTTAATACCCAATCAGGGAGCTGATAAGTGGAACAGCCTTTTCCCACTCTTATGAGGCCGAATTTTATTGTCAAGATAGCATTTAAGAGGTCAAATTTCATCCTGTTTCTTAGGTCAGATTTGATAAATTCACTCCAATGAAAAACATCTAGAAAAACATGGGATGTCTAAATGTCAAAAATCCCATCTAACTGCAAGGGAAAACATCTAAATCTGGATGTAAAACATCCAAAGTGGCAACACTGATATTCACTTACAGATCATTTATACTCATTTTAGACTGTGCCCACCTGGTCAATTTAAACAATCCATGTCAATGAAGCTCTGAAGAAATGATCACCAAAACGTGGCAACACAGGTGAGTAACTGAGCTACTACAGATGTAATTTGATTACATGGACAAACATTATACTTCCCAACTAAAAATCTGAAAAGATGAACAGAATTTGACATATGCCCAATTCTGTATTTAAAAAAAAAAAAGGCAAACTACAATCATTCACATAAATAAAGGGGAGAAATATTATTTATATAATAAACAAACAGACAATGCATTAAATTGTTATGTTGTCTAGTGTGTCCTTCTTCTATCTTTCTACTTCTTTCTATGAGTGCCAATCAATACATTGTCTGCTTGTTTATAAATATACATACAATTTCTGTGGCACTTATTATCCTCTTTGGCACTGTGCTACCAAATCTAGGTTGTAAATAAAGATAAATGAAAAACCCGCACAGCTAGTGGATTTTAAATGAATGCAAAATGCAGACAAACTTACACTCTGTGTATCAGCAGCTTGTCCAAGCTTGACTAAATGATCCCTTGTGACAACAACAGAGCCCAAATGATTGCAGGACAAACTCAGCTTCTCCAGTTTCCCTAAAGTGACGTGATTCCGGTGTGGGCAGGGCACAAACATGGTCTCCCGAGACGTAGATGAAGGCGAGCTGTGGTTGGCGCTGCCTCCTCCACCACTTCTGCGCCAGTGATGAAAGTTGGGGCTGTTGCCAGTTAGTGAAGCAGAAGAGTGCTTTGATGGTGTCAAGCTGCAAGGAACGGTAATAGAGAATATATTTGTGTGCAAGGTGTTGGATGTTACAGAGTACAGTGAAGTAAGTAAGGGGCGCCCTTCAAGCTTACAGCACACACACTGGGCAACCAGTTCTAGACCTAGATTTTACAGACCATTTGGTACTCGATAGGTCATGTAAAAGTAAAAAAAAGTAAAGATCCCTTTTCACGCCTTTCGGCGCACCGGGCATATGGGCAGAGCGTCCCATATTTTTACAGACCATCAGCACTCTGTGGGTAATGTGGTCAGCATTACGCCGGCTGTCTTTACTTTTCCAGGACAGCCCATCCCGGTACCCATTTTAGGCTGGGTCGACCTGCGACGTCCCATACCACGACAAAAATCTATGCAGCCTGCAGTGGGTTTCGATTGCGTTACGAGTCGGACTCGCAACGCCTTAGCCATAGGTCATGTGGTCAACATCAATCTAGGGGCCTTCCCTTCCCATGACATAACTTTGGTACCATTTTAAGACTGGGTAAGCAGTCAACCATGAAGTCCATCACAACTGACCGCCAAAGGTGAAGAGAGCTGATCAAACAGTCATCAGAAACTGGTGACCGAATGACACGTAGTGTTTTGGGAAGATGATGATGTTAGAAAATGATAACAGACATGCTAATCTGCAACAGAAATACAATGCCCACTGACATAGCCACATCACTAACCTAGCTGACTGGTCTATACACATGCGAGTCTAGAACCATATGCCCACCATTATCTCAAAAGGGATCCTTTATTTTACTAACTTTAAAACAGGCTAAAGCAAATATTTGAAAAAATACAGTGACAGGCCAACTAGACTTTTAATAAAAAGCCAAAGCTTTTCAACAGTCACAAATACTTACTGACTAAATCATATGCCCACCACCATCATAAATGAGGTCCTTTATAATTACTTTACAACAGGCTAATGCAAACATGTGAAAAAATACAAACACTGACAGGCCAAATAGACTTTAAAAAAAAAAATATTTTAACAGGCACAAATACTTACTGGCCAACTGGACCAAAACAAACAAACTCATAAAATGGGTCAATGGGAGCTTTCCAGGGGTCCATGGTAGTCAGCCCGGTTCTGGACAAATCCAGCTCAATCAAGTTAGATGGGAAGTCAGGAATCATGCCTATAGAATTTAGTGGATTGTCTGATAGAATAAGTACCTGTAGATAAAAGATGATGGATGAATTAGGCATTTTTGACAACAGAGTTTTACGATAAACCTTTGGACCCATTAAAGATGCACACAACGGGGAACGGAGAAGGAGACACATCAAAGAAATTCATAATCTGTTTAAATAAATCACCACTGATCACTGGCATCATGAAGGTTAATAGACTAATATGGCCAGGGCATAAAGAGAGAGCAGCGGATGGCAGAGAGACAAAGACTGTGTATCTAACTGGAAACCATTGACTAGACAATGCTGAGAATTGGGGGGGGGGGGGAGGAGAGGGGAGTTTGAAGGTTAGAACAGCCAGGGCTGGAGTATTAGCTGTGGAATGCTGGTGTATATGTTGAGGGGAGAATCTGAGCACCCTATGGACATGTCAGGAGTGCCTCGAGGATAAGCAGTATCATACTCATTATGTGATGAGATAGCTAAACTAATAACCTCATCTAATTTTTTTTTAACGAGAAAGATAGCAGATGACCGTGTCTCACAATGCTACAACCACCTATCCTTCATTTAATATTACTATGTATTTGGCATACAATCACTTTTACGTCACATCAGCTAAGATAGGTTGGCTTGAGCTGCCTCACTGGGGGATGAACTGCAAATGCACAAGGCAGAGATGATCTCTCACCTGTGGGATGAGGTAATAAGTTAAATAGAAGATATTATTGACAACCCATACCTATGTGGTGGGAACTGTCTGCAGGCTCAGTGAACCACCCAAGACTTGGAGGAAAGGCAAGGGGAGCAGTTAACCAGATGACAACAGGAGGTACAATCAGTACAGAGATTCTTCGCTAGCTGTTGAAGAGGCTGACGGAGCTAATATGGGCTTGTCCCGAAAGCTGTGATGTTCAATCTTTACCAAGATTACACAGCTAATTTTATAATGATGTCTCAACACAAGTGACTGATCAATAAGAATTACACGGTGCTTTATTAATATCCTACCCCAAACAGGGGAAATCCACACAGTCTAATATTTCAGGGGGTGGTAGACAGGCTGCATGCAGTCATGAGACCAAGGCTGCACTCTCTCCTGGGATTAGGTGGGTTGGGGTTAGGGCCAGTTTTAGATGTTTTGGGGTCGTTAAAAGCATTAGAAAGTCAGGAAACCCAGTTTTACCACCCTCTAAAATGTTGGACTGTCCTGTGACGTCATCTGGGGTAAGATATTAATAAAGAAACAATTAAACAAATGTAACATAAGCCTTACTCACCTCCAGATTTGGGGCGCAGCATGTCAGACAAGGAGGGACCTGTGTAAATCTGTTCCGGTTCAACCACAGCTGCTTGAGGCCAGAAGGTTGGTGACCGCTACCCTTCCAGGGATCACTGTCCACCACTGAGATGCCAGATTCCCATTTGTTGACCCTTACCACCTGGTTCTTTGTAATATCTAATCAAAACAAACAATTCATAGATGAATGTAGAATGTTGAATTAAGAATCAACACCACAACACTAGGGACACACCCATAAGCGCTCCGTCCCCATCTTCAGCAGCAATCAAGTTAAAATTCCGATAGTACCAGTAACTGTCTGATTGCATATTCGTCTCGCCTTTTCCCTGAGTGTTGAGCATCGACCAGATCCCCTAGTGCCATTCTCCTAATACAGACCGTAATGATCTATCTGTTCCTCGGCACTGTTCACTCACTCCCAAAGGGCCCTCACAACAATTAGTTTTTCATACATCAGTTCACCACCAAGTGGTGCAGAACTGGTCAATCGATCTGCCTGCTCATTTCCCAACACATCTGCATGACCTGGAGAAAATATCCAAAGTATGCTAACTACCCGGGACCTCTGAAGTGATGCTTGCCACTCTGCACGGAGCATGCCTGTCTCCACCTTTCTTAGCATTCTCTGTGAGTCAGTTACAATGACGAAATGTGTGTACAGCTGATTCTCAAGCCAGCGGAAGGCAGCAGTGACTGCCTCTACCTCCATTCTTAAACTAGTCGTTGTGATATCATATGCCAGGCTTTGTTGCACCAAGCGACGTATATTCACCTTCGCTATGAACCCCCATGCACTTCGTCTGCCCCTCAACACAGAGCCATCTGTATATACAATCACATCACTTGGGCGGGAATTTTCATGAATTCATAGATATAACATAAAAACAGCAATTTACAGGTATTTAGTAACAGTCGCAATTTGAACTTCACTTAAACTTCCAATCTAATAAATGCTTTGCTCCTGTGCCAGCACTAATCAAAGAAAATGCCTAGCATTGTTTGATGTGAAAATCTGAACAGGCAGCAGCTCTGGCAAAGCCAACAGCATACATTCAAACTGGCAGCTGCCAGATGTGACAACACCAGCAGTCTACAACTATAAATATAGGTCACTGTAACATCAGACATGATAAACCAACTATTGCAAATGCATTACTAAAGCATACAGCATACAGACAGTTCTATGAAAACCAGCCACTGGTCATTTTCTGAATGTGCAGTTTACAAAATAAGTTTCTTGCATATCCTTTACAGCAGTCGTTCTCAATCTTCCTAATGCAGCAACCATTTAATATAGTTCCTCATGTTGTTGCAACCCCCAACCATACAATTACTTTCGTTGCTATTTCATAACTTCAGTGAATATGTGTTTTCAGATGGTCTTTGGCGCCTCCCGCAAAAGGGTAGACTCACAAAAGGGTCACGACCCATAGGTTGAAAACCGCTGCTTTACAGGATTTTGTAGAACCAACCCCAGCATTTTGCTTGGCTGTTATGGTATTTTTAGGTAGGTTTTATGTTCAATAGTTTGCCATTGCTTCCTGAAAGATCGGCTATCAATACCTCTGTCGAAACCAACACAAGACAGTCTGCTGCCAAACCGCCTACGAGCTAGGATCGTACCCGGCACCCCTGCATTACAGAGCGCATTTGCAACGCCTCCGCCACAGATACCTACTCACAAAATAAACCACCTTGAAATCTAAATATCACAGTAACAAATATGAAGAAGTGTGTTCCACATTATTCTAGTATACTGAGGATATTGCAGTTAAAGTAAGTAATCTTTCCTATTCTCAAATTATCCTAGTATACTGAGGATATTGCAGGTAAAGTAAGTAATCTTCCCTATTCTCACAACTTTAGGGGAGTGGCCGTGGTGCAGCGGCTAGACACTCGCCTGTGGATCGGAGGGTCATTGGTCACTTAAACCGATTAGGTACTGATGAAGCCTGATTTTTTTGTTTAAACGACATAAGCTCCCATGTTGACCCAGCCTTAAACAGACACCAGGTACAGTCCCGGGAAGTAAAGGCGGCTGGTGTGATGTTGACCAAATTACCCACCAAGTACTGATTGGTCTATTTTAAACTGTAGATCTAGCCCTATATGCCTGAAGGCACGGAAGAGGGTCCTTTACTTTAACTTCACACCTACAGGTAGATTGCATACAGTGTTAATCTCATATTATAATGGAACAATCATAAATAAAAACGATGTGGTCAACACCATGCCAACAGTCTCTATTTTTCAGAATAACTGAATTTAAGGCTGGGTCAACCTGTGTCCAAAACGATTTGAAAGGACTTCCGCAATATAGATCTGAATTTATATTCACTGGACCAGCAGGCAAATATGCTAGTGACTGCAGTATTTTATCATGGGCATTATTGTGCTAGGTGATTGATGTGGATATTTACTGCTCAGTTTACGTGTTGCCACAATAACAAAACAATATTAAATTCAATACAACACATATTTTTTTAAAAAATACCTTGAGATGACAAAAAGGCAAAATCTGCTGCGTCATCATCGTTAATCTCCTGAGTGATTATATCATCAAAGCTGCTTATCGAACCAGACAGCGAAGGGCTACCACTCTTTTTCAGAGACCCCAAGGAAACATGTGATGGTCTGTTTGGTGTCCGCCTCAGTGACAACTGATCTCTGGACATGTGTGGCAGCCAGGTCAAGCTATTGCTGGAGAGATTCAGTGTGATTAATGAAGGAGATTCCCACATGTCTGCTGGCATTTCTGTCAGTCTGTTCACAGACACGTCCAGATACTTCAAGACAGGAAGATGAAAGATAAATTTGGGTAGCATATGAATCCTATTTTCATTCAAATGTAGCTCTTCAAGAGAGAAGCAAGAAAAGCTGCAGTCTCCTGGAATTTCTGCTATCTGATTCCGTGAGGCCTTGAGCAAAACTAGGGATGGGAGTTCAAATAAAACGGCGGGAAATTTCTCAAAACTGTTCTGAGATATGTCTACTTTGGTGATAGCACACAGAAGAATGGATGCATCCAGAGTGGTGCTGACAGCTGGGTTATGCAGAAGGCATGCTCTGATGAGACAGGAGGTCTCCATTTTGTCTAGCACACCTAACCCATTCCATCCAATAGCAACAGAAGTGGATGGCAGACTAGATTTATACTCAGGGTCAAGTGAAGTTGCCCTATCTAATTTAGAATCCTTCAACTGGAGAGCCTGAAAGGCCAATCTTCTCATTTCTGTCTTGTTGATATTTCTGCCAACATCCCTGCTGGATTTGTGGGCTAACATTAGCCATTTCACATCCTTGTCCTGAAAATAAAATGAGTGAAATGTAAATGTCATTAAAGAAAAACATAATTTCTTAGGGAAATAGCATTATCATTGTGTTGTGCTATTATACATCACACAGGGCTCACAGTCTAGAATTCCATTCCATTCTATCCTGTACAATCATCTCAATATCATGGAAGGAATCCAGTCTGGCACTTTGACTTCTCTCAACAATGTTCATCTCAGGGCTTCTCTTGAATGTCCACATTTTCTTAATCCATTTACTACTTATTCCAGAGCCTGATTGGTGATTCTCAATGTTTCTCTTCATAACATACCCAATACAATGATATCCTTTCTTCTTCTTCTTCTTCTGCGTTCATCCGAAGATGTAATTGCGTTGTGTCTGTTTACAGCATGGCTGCAATATTTGCACCTTTCGGCCAACACATCAGACTTCTGCAGGCATTTTTTGACCGGGTTAGCATTCCTGGTTTGATATCCTTTCTGTCTTATCACTTATGATTTCTTGTGACATTGTTCTCATTTCTTCACCTTTCTTGAACTGATACCATCTAATCTGGAAAATTTACTAATTAAGAAACATGTCACAGAACTACAGAGCAATGGGTTGGAGTCTATTCATCGTCATCATTGTCACAAACCATTTCTACCAGCATTGGGAGGAACAATCTGTGATCCAGTGCACATTGATACTGGTTGCCATAAAGGCTTAAAATATTGTAATGTTGTCGATACATGTTTTATGTGGCCATTCCCCTGCTCTTGTAGCTGAACTTCTGAGATGTAGTGCCTGTGATAATATTTGACGTTGCTGCATTCTAACGAGATGGCCAACCACTTGATCTGCTGTTTCTCGATGAAGCCAGTACAAGGAGTCATTCTCACAATCTGTCTGATAGTATCAGTATTCACTCGATCTTGGATGGTTAGGTTGGCAGCTTTTCTCAGGCATCTCATCTCACAAGTGGCGATTTTGCATATAAAGGCCTTAGACAACGTTCGTGTTTGGCACTGGTAGCTCAGTGCTGGAATTAATATGCTGTTTTTAATCTGTTTTTTAAACTGGCATGAAAAGGAACCTTTATTTACGTGGTGGTTTTTTTTTACAGTAAACATATTTATGTTCAATTCACAATTAACTATACAGAAGTAGCCCAAAAAATGTATGTGTACATTGTAATCGTCCACCAGTGAAATGCATTAACACTTTCATAGAGGCTACTTGTTTAAAAACATCATCATTATGTGACATTCTTCTCTTAAGTTCTCTTTCATCAGTGATTCTATCATACAATTTATGTGCAGTTAATGAATGTTTGTAGTTTATTAGTAACTGCCTTAGTTGATCTCCATGTTTTTTGCTCCATATTACAGTACTGATTTGACATTTGAATTAAACATTTTTAGTTTGAATTTTTTTTTTTACCTCCACAAATACCCTAGTGCTATGAAAGCTCCTCTTGCCTTTTGTATTCATATTTTAATTGACCTATCAGTTCCCCCATCTTTATCTATATTACTGCCCAAATGGGTGTACAATACCACGTCTGGGAGTGGGATACAATTAAGAGAAACCATATTACTATTTGCTCGATTTATTCTCATTCTTTGTCTTTCCTTCATGGATTTTCAGACCCACCTGCTGTGATCTTGCAATAAGTATATTTAATTAATCTTGCATCTGATTCCAAGAGTGGGACAGAAGAGAAATATCATCAGCAAAGTCCAGATCATCAAGCTGTTTTAAAGGAGTCTACTGAATTCCATTTCACAGATGGCTAGTTTTGCTCTCATGTTCTTTGGTCAATGTTCAAATCTGACACAGATAACCTTAAGCTGGAATAAAGATCACATTTGTAATCTGAACACTCACCTGAGTAAAAATTGTTGACATTAAAACTTTATTCTCTATGTCCTTGTGACCATGTGCTAACAACAGCTCAAGAATTGCCCCATTGCCATGTTCATACGCATACATCAGAACAGAGTTCTCTGCATCTTGGACTTTCATCTTATCTGGCGGGATCCCACGTAGCTCCAGCAGAACTTTAAGGACGTCCAAATGTCGATACCGAATGGCCATGTGGTATGCAGACAGCCCACTATTATTAATAATATTTACATCCACAGGATGAATTGACTTCTTATTTATATTCAGTTTTCGAGGAAGAGAACAAGGTCTCGAGTTACTACTTTCACTTTCACTATCTTCATCACTGTTCAAACTGTCATTATTCAAATCAGCTTTTAATGATTTCTGAGAGGCAGACCTTGGTATCCAATTCTCATCCATTTCCACTGTAATAACATGGCTGACTAAAAGCCTGGCAATGTCGACATGACCGTTTCTGCATGCAATATGCAGTGCTGTATCTCCTGCTGCATCCTGGGCGTTGTATTCCAAACCTGCCTGATAGGTCAATGATGTGGCGGGGTCGACAAATGACACCATACTATTCTGTGGGTAAGGGAACTCCAAGAGAAGTCTCACAGCCTCAGCTTTGCCACAGAGAACTGCTGAATGGAGAGGCAGCTGATGCTCAACTGATCTCACATAGTTTAAATCTGGAAATGTCTGGGGAATAAAAAGCAAATAAAATATATTTTAAAATACTGAACACGTTAACACTAGGCCATACAAGGCAGATAACGCAATCAGATGACCGATTATCTTCTTATGTCTGTCTACTCCAAATAGACTGTATCTGCAGTGCTGAATTTTAATTTAATGTTGAATTTTACTCTCAAACTACCAGCAGGTAAGCAAAGTATGCAAATAGTGTATAAGAAATTTGAACTTTAACTTGATTCCACCACTCTGATTCACTTCACGTCAGATTTTCTGTCTGAAGACTGGTGTGATGTTTTTTTTTTAAAGTTCTTTGACACTTCATAAACTTATTACTAGGAAGTAAGTGTTGTGGTGTATTTTGTACTTCTTGTCTTCCACATACATTCAATATATTATTATGCTATAAGTACTCTACGGTGAATAGAGTTGATCATTTTTGCCAAAGAACCAGGATGGCAATAATTTATGATTTTCAAAGACAACGGATCTTTAACGTGAGCAGACTGCCCAGGAACTTCATATACTTCTGTCTCATCCTCCCTGCCAGTAAAAAAGCACTTGATGATGATGTCCCACAAAAGCCCCTGTCGTCAAAGCTCTTCTTAGCTTCATGCAGAAAGGCACAACAGGAAGAGCAGAAAAAAGAGGTAGCATTATACATGTAAATATCTATATGAAAGAATGCTTGACTGTCCTCAGCTTCACATTCATAGCCTGTAAATGCCAACGTAAAGTCCTGGTTGATTGTCCACTTCTGGACTTTTGTCTTGTTAGAGGACTTGAGTGTTGCGTACACATTATTTTGTATACAGATATATTTTGTATACAGATATGACTTATCTTGTGTGCAGACTGTTAGTTCCTAACATCTCAGGCAGATGCACTCCAACTTTGAAGGAAATGTCGATCCAATCTCTGTTGGCCAGGCCCCAGATCGAGAACCTGTTTCCTAGATGACTGCAAAGAGATCCTGCCTTGACCTTTTTACATCCCTGGTCCTGTTGCATCACCATGTGTAGTTCAGCCCCACTGTGTGTTCTGGGGGGTCCATTTTGGGAGAAAAAAAAACAGGCTCACTGCCTTCATAACAAGCATGTCGCAAAAGCCAACTAAACAGGGTTGTCCCCTTCCAACAGAGTGCCTGAGAGGCAAGGAACCAACAGCCTGCATAAAAATAAGTCAGATTTGTAAAATAAGACTAAATTCTAGATGGAAAATAAAATTCACTCTGAAATATTATTATGATTTATAATCTGAGAGCAACAGCTGCTTACATTCAAGAGGAGCTCCATGACTCTAAGATTCCCGGACTCACAAGCCAGGTGAAGGAGAGTGAGGCCAGTCTCTCGCTGGCTGGTACAGGAGGCCCCTTCTGCCAGTAGCAAACTCAGGATGTCAGCATGGTCACATTTTGCTGCTCTGGGGTATTATATAAATGCAATTAAAACAAAATTAATGTTACATTAACTGAATGAATTAATTGAGTTTTAACTGGCTGCATCACATTTTGCTAGTAAATAGTATTATACATACAATTAAAACAAGATTTTTGTTATATAAATTTAATTTAATAATTGAGTTTTAACTGGCTGCAACAGACGAATGATCCACACCTCAAGAGATAGATTCAGCCGGGAGCCAGCAGAGGATTTCAACAAACAGAGAAAAAGTCAGGTAGACTTAGAATGAAGTTGCAACTGGTGCCATCAATATGGGAACTCTTTAATGGCTACCAAGAAGAAGGTGATAGATCAAGCATGTGGAAATACTCCAAGTGCAATGACGCCTATTCTTGATTGGTTCATTCTTTTATTTTTTTCAATAAGTGGTTAATGAATTCTGATATGCATTATTTTAAACTTGATAACTAGCTAAGGGAGTCATGGTGGTGCAGTGTTTAGTACTCTTGCCTACTTGATTTATGGTCTCAATTTTAAAAAACATAGCCTGTTTTGCTAAAATTGTGGGTTCCTTTTACGGATGTGTGGTTCAGTTATGGAGAACCCCAGATGTGATTGCTAGGGCTATAGAATTTGTGTTATGTGTGAAACTCTCAGCAGGCGGCTAGCCATTATGAGAAAAGAAAGTGAGCCACATGGAATAAAAATGGTGCAATGAAATGGTGCAATGAAATGGTGCAATGAAGTCAGACCTCTCAACTTTAACTTTTAATTAATATATATTGAACTCTTTTGGCCCCAAGCAACACATGATACATAAATTATTCTTTCCTTTGAATCACAACCATAGCACAGTTTTTTTTAAAACTTGTTACGTTTGTTCAGAGCATGCTAATGATATCTTTTTCTGTGGTTAATTAATTAGTTAATCAACAGATTATCCTTACTGCACATCAGATGAGTCCATAAGTGCTCGAGCCCATCTTCAGTATGTCACTCGGTGTGTAGCGACTGATAACACCAAGTTCTGTGCTGGTTTACTATTCTTCTTTGGCTGTTTAGGTCTGGCGACAGCTTTTTTTGACTTGATGTTCTTGTAGTCTTTTGAGCATTGCCAAATCACTGTCATCTCCTAAATCCTCTTCTCATCCTGCCTCCTTGAGAGCAATGAGAATGTCTGCCCGCTCCATTGCTTTATCTTTACCTGTTGTGGCCCTGCCAGCAAGCCAGTCTGCTCATTCCTTTTTCTCTTGCCCCAGAGTGCCCTGGTACAGCAATTAAACTGATTCCTATCAGATGAGATTTCCTCAGCGACTCCAATTATTTTCTTAAAATCTGTCCTTCTTGATCTTCTTAAGCATGCTCATGGAATTACTTAGAAAGCATCATGGGACAAATTATGTGTCTCTAGCCACACAATTGCTTTTGTTACCGCCATCACCTCCAGAGTCAGACTACTTGTAGTCGAGTCAAAAGTATCTGCTTTTAGTTTTCCTGTGGTTACATCCACACTGGGTATTTTGCCTAATAAAAGTTATATATTTTTGAGTATTCATACTGGTTGCTACTTCTCTCCCGACATGTGTTGTGAAACCATTTGGGATGGAAAGAGTCAATGACTATTCCTTTCCTTACATAGCAAGAGGTGAAAGTCCCTTGGTGGCCATATTGATGACATGTTTCCTGTAAGCTCCACTTTTCTTCAGAACTTGCTTCACATCGTCAAGATTCCCTTCAGCACAGGCCTCACAAAGTTCTGCAAGAGATGGAGATGAAAAATTACCACTTTGTAACAAGATATGTTTTTAAATGTTGAACGTTTAAGCTCTGAATGTCGAACTTGTCGAAAATGATTCACTACAAAGGTCTAACATTATCATATTCAAAGAAGACATAAAGATGATGATCACACCTAATTTGATTGAAAATGTAAAATATTTTTTTTGGGGTAGGGGAGAGTGTAGTGAATCTCAATTTCTCCTAGATAATTTATGCCTAGACATAAGTAATGTGAGTGGTATATTTTGAGTCTAACTGGGACAACACTGGAATTACTGATAGTCTAACTTCACGGGAATTGTAGAGAAATGCTGACAATCAAACTTTGTCTGAATTATGATGATTCACGTGTAGAGAAATGCTGATAGTCAAACTTCATGTGAAGTATGATTATTCACGGGGGTCACACAAACTGCCGGCCAAATGGAATTAGTGGGAATGAAGGAACATGGAGAATTCGGGAGTACGAAGAGGGGCATTAGAAGGCTATATAATGCCGTAGAAAGGGCTGGGAGTCAGTCTCGTTTAGGCCTAGGAAATGAATATTTGACAAATGATGGAGTATCTGCAGGATCCAGAAAGAGTGTTAAAGTCTGACGTGTCTGCACAATGTTTTTTCGAATGCCTAACTGGCCATCAGTTGCGGCGGACAGAAGTCGTAGCCAGCTGAGAATGTTTTGTGTTTTTGATCGGATGGAATCGTTGTTGTTCATTCAATTGTGGGATGATCGTTAGATTAAGGTAAAGTTGACATGTTAGATAATTGAGTGACTATGTTGTCCATTTACATTTACTAGCTGCAATACCAGCAAGTGATCAAATAAACTGTATAAGTGTAATTTGGGTCGTTCGACTGCGTCCATGTTTTCTCGTGTGTTGTCAGTCGGTGAATGGAAACGTGCGATGACGCGAGCCAGAAGACAAAAGAGAGTCATCGCAATCATAAGTTGGTAAGTTATGATCAAAACATTTTGACTTTTTTTTTTTTAAATATGTGTAGTATGGAGTAACAAATGAACATATGATAGGTTGGTTGTCTGAAGGTAAATAAAGTGCACATTGTTTAAAGGTGATGCCATGGATGTAGACTGTATTGCACATTGATTAAAGGTGAACCATGATTGAAGATGGTATACTGCGTGAATCTGCTTGTAATACTATGGATAAAATTGATGTAGGACAAAACACACTGACAACTATAACCCTCTTTTAACTAAAGTGAAAAGAGAGAAAATACAATAGTACAGATATGTAATTAGATTAAACGGCCTTTCAGAAACAAAACTACAGTGACGTAGCAGCTAGGTCGACCCAGCCTTGAGTGGGTACTGGGTACGGTCCCGGGAAGTAAAGGTGGCCGGCGTGATGACCATATCACCAATCTTGTGCCGATTGGTCTATAAAAATATAGATCTAGCCCTATATGCCTATACCCCTAAAGGGCCTAAAGGTGTGGAAAAGGGACCTTTACTTTATTTTTTACTCCTTACCTGTGGATAAGCTGTCTAGTAGAATCTTTGTCTTCTCTGAAACAGTCAAAATAGTCCAAACATTACAAACACTGACATTATCCATGCTTAAGTTGTGAAAAGGGCTGTTTACATCTTTTTTTAAAAAAGAGGTCAACTAACAAAGAAAGCATTTAATGATGTTGTAATAGCAAATTTTAAAAGAAAACAAAAATAATGTCCACAGATAAAACTGGCTGTCACACACACACAAAAAACAATAAATGATGAAGAAATTGAAAATGTCACAAACTATGAATACCCAGGCTCTATAATAAATAGCAATGGAGACTGTTTGACAGAAATTAAAAAGGAGGATGGCCATAGCAATGCAAAGATTAAACAGCATTATATCTATGGTTAAGCACCAGCAAGGAGATCGAAATAAGAATTTTGAGAGCATGCATCTTCCTATACATCCAAGAAGGGCAGCGACAACTTCAGGATGGGGCTTCCTACCACTACCGCATGGAAGACGCCACGCTGGCTAACAATCATAAAGTGAAATCAGTGGTGACGACACTCATCACACAAGACCTCTTTCCCCAGAGAGCCAAGTCACTTCACAATTATGACAGCTGTTTGGGGAAACCTAGCTTTAACATGCTGCCTAAAATTCATAAAGAAAACACCCCAGGGAGGCCCATGGTTTCAGCTTGCTCGTGTCCAACCGAGCATGTATCAGCATTTTTAGACAGCATTTTTAAACCATTAGTGGCCGAGCTTCTGTCTTACCTGAAGGACACCAATCATGCCATTATAACTTTTGAGTCTGTGATTTCCACCTCAGACCATAGTAGGTATCAGGTCTTTACTTTGGATGTTGCCTCACTGTATACCTCCATCCCTCACAGTGATGGCCTTTTGGCGTTGCGTTTCTTTCTGGACAAACGCAGTCATCCAGCCATTGCCACTGAACCCATCGTACTTTTAGCCGAGTTGGTTCTGACTCTCAATTCTTTTGAGCTTAACGACCAATACTTTGCCCAAATTAGTGGGGTGGCTATGGGCACTAAAATGGGCCCTAGTTATGCCTGCCTCTTCATGGGTTTTCTAGAGTACCAGATGTGGCAACTATACACAGGTCGAGTCCCTCAACTGTATAGAAGATATATTGATGATGGTTTTGGTGTAACCGATATGTCAGTAGTGGAACTGGAAAACTTCATTAATTTCTTCTCGAATTTTAACCCCAGTATCAAACTAACCCATCATATTTCTTCCTCTTCAGTCAATTTCTTGGACCTTTCAGTTTCTATCAACCCTCGTGGTCTCACCACATCGGTCTACTATAAACCAACCGACTTCCATGCCTTTCTACTCTATGACTCTTCTCATCCTCGGTCTTGTAAGGACGCCATTCCTTTCTCTCAACTCTTGCGTCTTAGACAATTATGCCAGGATGATGAAGACTTTCAAATCCTGGCAGTAAGGCCTACAAAATGATGGATTTCTTCCGATTGCTTGGATATCCTGAGTCTGTCTCAGAATCTGCCTTCCGCCGCTCCTAGAGCATCAGTCGGGTGGATGCTTTCATCCCCAGGCCTAAACAGCAGAACCTTAGACCCATACTTTTCTTAACTTACCACCCTCATAACATTGCTATCAAGAACATCCTATTCCGTCATATGTCTATCCTCCGAGCGGACCCAGTAACTAACGCTGTGTTCTCAGAGAAACCCCTACTGGCATATAAGCGGGACCGCAACCTCAGAGATTTACTGGTACACAGCAGAGTACGGGGACCCGCCCCAACTCATCTGGGCACAAAGGCTTGCCTTAGATCTCAGTGCAACACCTGCCCATACGTACTGAATACTTCAGATGTGACTTTTCCTAAAGGCACCTTTAGCATCAAAGAGGAATTCTCCTGCACTAGTAGGAACGTCATCTATGCTATCATCTCCAAACGGTGCAACATCAAGTACATCGGGGAAACCGGTCTTCGCTTAGCCGACAGGTTTCGCCAGCACCTTCATGACATCACCAACCAAACAGCCAGGCCAGTTTCCACTCATTTCAACAGCGCTGATCATCGTGGGACTGCTGACATTCAGGTCACGGCCATCAGATCCTGCTCATCTGACGATCGACATAGAAAAACTTTGGAAAACCGACTTATATATTTGATGGGTAACCTCTCACCACTAGGCCTTAACACCCAACATAGCTTCATATAAATTACCAGTGCCCTGGTAACGCACCCTTATCCCCCTCCCTCCCATCCCTCCTCACAATACCCACACCCATCCCACATTGTACGTTAGTATCTGACTTTCATGATATTCTCTAACTATGAGGGTTATCCCCTAGGTCTCGACAGACTATGTTGCTGGCTGCTTGACACTGCGAAACATATTTGGATACTAGTGTGCTTCTCTCTCTCTCTCTCTCTAGCTATATACCAAGTTTTCTCTAGTCTTCCCTCTCCTTACTCTTCTCCCCTTCCTCTCCCTTTTTATGTTTTTTTTCTCCCCTACCTTTTACTCTCTCTCTCTCTCTCTCTTTTTCTCTCTCTCTCTCCCTCTCTCTCCCGCTCGCTCTCTTTCTTTTCTTTTCTTTTTTCTCCTCTATTCATACAAACTTTCATTCATCTATCCATTTTCCCCGTTACATGTGGATGCACTGTCCTAATGTGGAACAATTTCGTGATAGTTTTTGAACGCACTCCTCCTATACAGTGTACATATCTCGTTTTAACTACCGAGATGGTAAGTGTTTGTACACACTGGGGATATGCAATTCTGACTCGACAAATATTGTATATAACAATCATCCTTACTGTCTCTGTGTGACAGCTGACAGTCAGAGAGAAGCACTGCACCACAAGACCCTTGTTCACGCGATGTCAGATTAACATACATTCAGACCCATCCATCCATACATCCTTCCATCTACCCATCTATCCTCTCGTCTATCCATATATCCTATCATCCATTCATCCCGATCCACTCAGCCTATTAATCGATTTGTCCGTCCATTCATCGCTCTCCGTGTTTCTTTGCATGCCTACCCGATGTACAATACATCACTAGTCTCTGCTACCTATACAGCAGATATCTCAGGAAACACGATGTTTTTGCGCGTGGGCTCGATTGATACTTTGTATAACATTCATCCTTACTGTCTTGACTTGCTTGGTGACAGTAAGAGAGAAGCAATCACATCATGAGACCCTGGTTTTTACCTGTTTAAATATATCAGCATACATATAGGCTGATCCATCCATCCATCTACCATTACATCTATCCACGAACGTAACCATAGTCCCGCCCATTCATCTACCCACACCATTTATCCCATCATCCACTCAATGCTTTTTTTCACCGCTTCCTTCCATTCTAGCTGTTACCAGCTTTGTACTTGGGCTCGACTAATACTTTGTATAAAAATCACCCTTACTGTCTCTATTTGATAGCTGACAGTAAGAGAGAAGCACTGTGTTACTAGACTCATGTTTTTACCTCATTTCATATTTGGTCGATCCATCCATCCATCTACCATTCCATTCATCCACAATGGAGTCTCAGGTTGTTCCTGCTGGACCTTTCTTTATCATTTACGCCCAAACAATCATTCATGTTAACCCTAGACTTGGTCTTGCCATTCGTTGTTGACTGAGGTTCATTACATGTTCGAAGTTGATCGATCAATGTTCTTATTTATCGCACCTTAATCACTGAAGAGTGGTGTATGTGTTTCATTGTTTCAAGCAACTCTATCCACACGTTTCAGAAGCAAGGAAGGATGGAAGGGAGAGAGGAAGGAAGGAAAGAAAGAAGGCAGGGAGGAAGGAAGGGAAGAATAGAAGAAAGAAGGGAGAAAGCGAGAAAGAGATACACATTAAGAAAAATAACTGTCATACCAGTACTCTGACAAAAGCTGAGAGAATTATACATTGAATTTACTTGTATTTCTTTACCTTGTTCTTTTTCAATAACAGTCACAGCACCTCTGTTCTTCATGTCATTGGCCAATGCTAAAGGTGTCTTGCCAGATTCATCTCTTTGTGTCAAGTCAGCTCCATGAGCGAGGAGAAGTGCCAGGGCATCATGCTTGCTGTCCAGTATTGAAGCATGCAGTGGCGTCTGAGTCAGGGGCACAAGGAGTACATAGAGCTCATCAATAAAACAGTGACTTGCATATCAGAAAACTGCTACCTAATAGCATAGTAAAGAAATTGCAGACCTGCTTGTCAGCTGAAAAAAAAGAAAAAGAAAGAAAGCAAGCTTGAGTGTGAGAGACCAGGAAGATAGGAAGGCGAGTAAGTCAGTGAATGAAACAGACAGAGAGAGAGAAAGAGAGAGAGAAAGAAAGAAAGAGAGAGAGAGAAGCAGCAAAGATATAGTGAGAGGGGATGTATGAGAGAGGCGTGAGATAAAGGGAGTGACAGATAGTGGCATCATGCTTGGTGTCCAGTAAGTTCAATTAAAAATCGACATCACAGCACTCGAGACACCCCCATAAGCACTCCATCCCCATCTTCAGCAGCGAGCAAAGAGTTCCAATTCCGACGGCACCAGTAACTGTCAATTTTGCCTTTTCCCTGAGTGCTGAGCACCGGCCAGATCCTCTTGTAACTCCTCACAGCGCTATTCTCCCCAAACCGTAATGATCTAGCTGTGCCTCCGCACTGTTCAATCCCTCCCAAAAAGCCTTCACAATATCCACCCTGTCGTAAATTGGTTCACCAACAAGTTGTGAAGAACTGGCCAGTCTATCTGCCTGATCATTTCCCACCACAGCAGCAGTGACTGCCTCCACCTGCATTCTCAAATTAGACTGCCTCCACCTCCATTGCTGTCCAGTTTGGAAGCATGCTGTGGCATCTGAGTGATGGACAAAAAGACAATATAGATATCTTCACTGGTAAATGTACAATTGAATACTACTACGCCTTTTCAGAGTAAATATAGGTCTGCCTGCATGTTTAAAAGAGAGAAAGCTGGAGAGTAATAGAGCAGAAGGATGGGTGGAAAAGAGGGGGGGGGGGAGAGAGAGGAGAGAGAGAGAGAGAGATAGAGAGAAAGTCAGATAGGATGTGTGGGGCAGATCTTTAAATTAGAGAGGGGAAGAGACAGACAGACACAAGAGAGAGAAAGAGAGAGAGAGAGCAGACAAAGAGAAAGTCAGATAGGATGTGTGAGACAGACAGACAGACAGACAGACAGACAGACAGACAGACAGACAGACAGACAGACAGACAGACAGACAGACAGACAGACAGACAGACAGACAGACAGACAGACAGACAGGCAAGCAGGCAGGCAGACAAACAGACAGAGAGCAGTCAAAGAGAAAGTCAGATAGGATGTGTGGGACAGATCTTTAAATTAGAGAGGGGGAGAGACAGACAGACACAGACAGACAGAGAGAGAGACAGACAGACAGACAGGCAGAGACACAGTAAGGGTGGAACAGCTCACAATGATAAATAACTTAGTTAAGATATTTAAAAACTAGTTAGACCCCAAAAATATCTCACCATGTTATGACACCTGGATCCTGCAGGTATGTTCATGTCAGCTACAAGATACAAGTAAACATTAAGTGTTGGTATACAGATGTTTTGTGGGCACTAAACACACACAAACCAACACTTGCCTGATTTCTCACTTACTCTTACCTGTACACATGCACACTACTGCCTGATTACTACTTTATTACACACATTTACACATGGGTGCCTGCTTACTTACTTATTTACTCTCTTACACTCATACACACAGACACACAACTGCCTACTTGTTTGCTCTCTCTCTCTCTCTCTCTCTCTCTCTCTCTCTCTCTCTCTCTCTCTCTCTCTCTCTCTCTCTCTCTAATGTATTTTCTTGCTTACTTTCTTCCCGGAAAGTCTTTCAAGATGACAGAGACAAAGCATCCCCAACCGGAAATATACCGTTGCAATGTGACCACACACACCCCCCCCCCCCCCCCCCCCCCCCCCCCAAGTAATTAAATGGGTACTTGTTGCAAGGAAATGATTTCTCCCCCCCCCCCCCAAACTCCACACGAAGTCCTCACCTAATATAAGAAAAGTAAAGTAAAGTATAGGACCCTTTCCACTTATTTAGGCGTGTAGGGCATATAGGGCTAGACCTATATTTTATAGACCAATCAGCACACGGTGGGTGATGTAGCCGTCAGCATCACGTCGGCTGCCTCTACTTCCCGGACTGCTCCCGGTACCCACTCAAGACTTAAAAAAAAAAGAATATATATATATATATGAGAAGTAATTAGCATTTAATGTGTCATGACACTCTGTTACATTTTGTACAAGACAAGATCCTGTTGTTCTGGACTTTTTTTTTTTTTTTTTTCTAAAGGGCAACGAAAAGTGTGTGTGCCTGTATGTTTGCTAGTTTCTGGTGCGTTCTCTAACCAATATCTTCTACTTAATATCCACGCCGTTAGTAGTCATGTATATCCACGGCCTTCTGTCTAGTGTACTTGCAATCAACTCTAACACAGATGATCCTCCACGCCATGATGTCAAACTGTCCAGCAGCTACTTGCGCCGTAATTTCGCTCTTATCGCTACCACTGCTGCCTTATTTGGTGACGTGACCTTGGCGAAGAAAAGAAAACTTGCTGCACGCGCACCTAAAAAAATCGCTAAATGTCGCCTGCCACGAAACAGAGCTCCGCACGTTCGTGTTGGGCCTCGAATTTCCAGGAACTGCTTTTCCGTATGGTGTGTATAGGCGGCGAAAGGACGCATATCATAACACATCAGCTACATGGGAGATAGGACAGCCCGTGGTAACCGCCACGGTATGAACGGGAGCCGGCACGAAATCTCGCGTCCTAGGAGTTAGGTGGTATGGCAAATTAAGACAACTTTTTTAAGGTGCCTAAGTCATGTTCTTAGTACACTTGTTTCCACAACGAGGCGCAAACGCAACCTGTAGGTGACAGGTTCTACTACCTGCACAGTAATTATAGCTTTCGGTTTTTATGTTGTCTTGTATGTCCTTATATCTTTCTACTTCTTTCTGTGCGTGCTGATCAATACATTGTCTGTTTGTTTATTATACATATGTGATGACGAGTTGAGATTTATAATTTGAATCATTGCGATCCTTGTTGGGTTCAAGGGCCCAATTGTGGGGAAAACAAGAAGAGACCCACTCCTCCCCAACAGGCATGTTGTAGGTGTCGACTGATTGAGGCATCCTGAGAAATCGGTGTACATCTGCCTGAGAGTCAAGGAACCGAAAGTCTGCATACTGATGAGCAAGATCTGTGAAATGGGTATGCACGCAAGACTACAGTCCGGCGGTGGACGAACACCTGAACCTTCTGCCGGATTTTACAGCCGGTGAACGAGAAAAAGAAAGAAAGAAGAAGATTCATGACGAAAGGATTAGTTTAATTACAGCAGGTGTTACCTCATCGGTCTTGGCTGTCTCCGCAGAGCGTCTGGCTGCTTAATGACAGCGAAGCACTGCGACGTGCCCATAGACGATCTTCGCAACAACAACAAAAATTCACCCGTGAGCCGAACCGAACGACACAGAATGAAAACGAATCCAGGAACCTTCCGAGTGTGATGCAAACGACTTCAGCATATTAAGACGACTCAAAGAATGTGTCTCATTAATGTTTTCAACGGCTGTATGATTGCTGGTAACAGAACCAGGTGTACTTTCTGAAGAGACCCATTTTTTAAGGAAAAAACTTTAAAGGTGGAGGTATGTCTATAACAGATTCGGCCGTTCAGTTATGGTATGCCGCGATGGTGTGGCGGCTAAACGATCCCTTCCGGCCCACCCACACATATTAAACAATTATGTTGTTTATTATTATTATTTGGTTTTATTTATTTACATTATATATAAATACCGCAATGTATTCATTTCATATAGTTCATTTTTGTGTTTTGTTTCTTGTCATTGTTTTGCTGATAAAAGCTAATCACCGCAACGTCCTGTTTACTGTAAGTGCTTCTGTCAAGCTGACACATACTGTATGTTTTTCTTAACATTTTCTTTTAGTCTTTTCTCTTCCCTATCTTTTGTAGAGACGGTTTCTGAGGCCAGGTCGACCCTAGAACCGCAGCGGGCGGGGAAAAGTATTTCCCCTGATGAGGATGAGTAGGGTACCCTGACCTCTGCCAAGGCAGGCGAATAGCTGATTTACTTTTAATTCACCCCGAACAAAGGGAACCCTAGAGTTCCCGGAAAATTCCAGTATTTTAGGGGTGTTATAGGTTGGGGCTGGGATTAGGGTTACGATCTTTGTCAGTCCCAAGGTATCAAAGACACTGACTAACCTCGACCTTAACACTTAGCCTAACCCCAACCCATAAAACCTCTATAATATCATATTTTCCCGGGAACTCTAGGATTTCCTTTGTTTCGGTGAATTAAAAATAAAGCGACTTACACTAACCACTACTCCCTGGCGGCTCCAAAGAAATCTAGTGATATCGATAGGCAATTAAAGCCGCCGTAGCGAAGTGGCTACAAGTTCACCTGCCGGCCCAAAGGGCTTGGTTCCAGTCCGCGTCGAGTCGATTTAAAGTTTATAAATTGAGTTTTACTCCTCTGAATTACCTGGTCAGTTGGTCCCCTCAGGGCTGCTACCTAACTCTTTCAGTACCAGATTATTTTACAACAGACATCCAATCTGGTACAATAAGCACAGCATCAAAGTTACTAATGAGTCACTTTCAAAGACACAACAAACATTTTACTGCACAGTAAAATATTTAGCCATATTTCTGTTGCGAGCGGCGTGATGCTGACCACATCACCCAACAAGCGCCGACTGGTCTAGTCTTTATGCCCAATATGCCTGAAGACTTGGAAAATGCTCCTTTACTTTTACATAACTCTTTCACACACACAGAGGGAAAAATAATTAAACATAGAACACACCTTGTGCTGCGGTGATTTTTTTTTTTAACGTATCCAGAAACCATGAGTTGTAAACCCTTTGGCTCGGTACTATGGATATCGCAACCCTTCGGCATTGATTCCATTATAGGTACCGTTAATCTTGGAGAAATGTGGCTTTTCTGCCAACCCCGGGAGTGAACCCGGACCACAAGGAGTTCGTCACCCGGCCGCCGCGAAAGTCGGGTTTAACCAACTTCGCTAGAGAGATGGGTAATAGCTAATAACACACCGTGCAAGGTTGGGACAGAAAGAGCTGAAGTTATATCCTTTTTTTTTTTTTAGTTGTGAATTCTTTACAGGACATTGCAGAATCAACCCAAGCATTTGTGATTTTTGTGTTTTTTCTAGGCAAATTTACCCCCAGTAGTTTGCCACTGCTTGCTGGACGGTCGGCTTCTCGATGCCACTGTTGAACCCAACGCAAGGCCCGCAGCTGGGATCGAACCCGGTACCCCAGCATTACGTTCCGCTTTTGCAACGCCGAAGCCACAGACGCCGACAAAGATATACCATACCATCTTGAATTGAAAAAGCACAGATGCCGCGGTCAACCTCTAAAGTGGTTGTAATTGGGGCATCCGTAACGGTGTCACCAGTCAGATTTCATCTGCAGTCCTATAAAGGTAGGGACGAAGGTTTGACTCCAGTGACCGGGTCACCCACTGATCGTCGGTAGACGTTTTCATCACTGGTCGCGACAGTACTTGGGTCTGTCTCCTTTGATCGCGTCAACACTGCATTAGTCCTTTTCAGGGCTCTTGCTGGAGGGCAATGCTACGCCATTTTATCTGGCACACATAACCTCGTGACAATTTTAACCTTAAGCTCTCCCTTCACGGATGCTGGTTGAGCGTGAAGATTGTGTTCCCCAGCAAGACATCGACCTTTGACTCCGTGGCCAAGCCAGCCTTAAATGAGTATCAAGTACCTGCGAAGTAAAGGCGGTAGATGTGGTGCTGACCACATCACCCATCGAGTGCCGTCTGGCCTATAGAAACACCAGTCTAGCTTCATGTGCTTTACTTTAGATGGGCGAAGTGTTGACTATCACGCTATATTTGTTTTTATTTCTTACGATATTTCCTTGAGCTGCATTGACTTGAAGCCCATACCAATTTTACAAATTCGCCTCGATAGGGATTCGAACCGGGCTGACAAGCAAGCGTAAGTAAGGATGAGAAAAACTTTAATATTTGAGTCCCAAATAGTTAATACTTAAACTCCTTTTATCCCAAGATTTTGACCTTACAAGCGATAAAAACTAAGACAAAGGAGTACAAAAGAGACATTACCGGACAGAGTTAGTTAAACTTAGGATTCAGAAACAAAGGGAATGGATATGAAACGTATTTGAATTGTTTGGTACTGAAAGAGTTAAACATGGCAGATATAGTCAAACTACAGCTTTTAATCACCTGGTGTAAAGAGGAAATGGAGAGGGAGGGAGGGAGGGAGGGAGAGAGAGAGAGAGAGAGAGAGAGAGAGAGAGAGAGAGAGAGAGAGAGAGAGAGAGAGAGAGAAGTTGCCAGACAGTTCAGTATCACAACGTTGAAGAACATCCGTATAAGAAATTGCTGAAAGCACACGCACACGAGACTGTGGACTAAACATATTTACCAA